GCCTTTACTTCAACTACAAGCAGTTCTTCTCGGTTGTCCTGATGGCTCTGGTAGATTCAAAGTACCAGTTCCTGTGGATTGATGTGGGTGGGGTTGGCCATCAGTCTGATGCCCAGATCTACAACAACAGTGAACTGAACGAGTGCATTGAAGCTGGCACTTTAGGCATCCCAGATCCAGCTCCTCTTCCCCATGATGATGAAGAGCACCCTATGCCGTACTTCTTCGTGGGAGACGATGCCTTCGCCATGAGGACGTACATGATAAAGCCCTATGGCCGTCGTAACATGGACCAACAGCAGAAGATCTTCAACTACAGGCTGTCTAGGGCAAGGCGTGTGGTTGAAAATGCCTTTGGTATTCTGGCTCTGCGGTTCCAGTGCTTACTTGGCCAGATGAGACAGGAACCAGACACAGTCCGCCTGCTCATTGAAGCTGCCGTCATGCTGCACAACCTCATCAGGAAGCACTATCAGGCACTGGACGTCCGCATGTTGGACCAGGAGGATGCCCAGCACAACCTCATCCCTTGAGCTTGGAGAACTGCCGTCATCACTGTGAGAAAGTCCTGCGATGCCGCCCTGCTGTTATAGGCGGCAAGTGGCGCCGAATGGCGGGCAATCAGGTGGCATTTGGCGCGAAGTAGTCACCAATCGGGTGCCGTTTGGCTCGCGTAGTGGCGCAAACAAGGTGCCCCTTGGCGCCAAGTGGCGCCATGTGGTGCGAAATCTCATTGGCGCAACTTGGCGCGCGCCATTACATTCCAGTGGATTCCAATATAAGGAGGATTTGCGCCAAAGGGCGATATGTTCGCGCCATTTGGTGCCACTTGGCGGACACTTGGCGCTGATTGCTCGATGCAAGTGGCGCGACGAAAATTTCAAACATTTTGAAATTTTCTTGCCGCCACATTCAAATTTGTTGCCATTACGGGCCACCACGAGCCAGTTGGGAGGCAGTTTGAGCCACTACACGCCACTAAGCACCTCATTGGCGACACTAGGCGCCACAGTAAATTGCATTGGCGCAAACTGGCGCCGGCCCAGTGGACTCCTAGCATTACGGGCCACCACGAGCCAGTTGGGAGGCAGTTTGAGCCACTACACGCCACTAGGCACCTTATTGGCGACACTAGGCGCCACAGTAAATTGCATTGGCGCAAACTGGCGCCAACTGGCGCCGGCCCAGTGGACTCCTAGCATCACAGACCAGGTAGCAACAGAGGATGCTATCATCAAGTTAGGAAATGTCTTGCGTTTTCCGGAAAAGAACGAGGGATAGAGGTATAAATTCTGACCCCCAACTGTGCAGTATCTCTCAGTTGAATACTGTGTCCTATCTTTGGAACTCTGGGCCCCGTCTGAGGAGTCTAATATTCATTGTGCGAACTTCTTGAAATCAACACTAAACTTACTTTACTGAGTATTGAATATGACGCCTAGTGCTATAATGAAAACTACGACCCCCCCCCCCCTACCTTATCTATGTAAATTTACAGGCGAGGCTAAGGAAATTTGCAAGGGAGCGCAGTAAACGAGTGGTAGGCCAATGTTGTGTTATGCATTTTGGAAATTGATAAGTGGTTTTATATTCATTCCTTCTGCATATGGTAAAGACAATTAACAAAAACTGATAGTACGAAGTCTGCGTATCCCTTATTGATTTCGTCAAGATTTTTTTTATTTTTTATTATTTATTAATTTGCCATTATTTTGTTCTCAGGATATCTCAAGACTGAATAAAGTCAAAGTCTTCGAGACGTCATTAAGGCGCCATTTTGCGAAAATCAACTTATGATCATATCTTCATTACGTAAAGTAATATTTTATTCATATTTATCATGATTAAGATAAATATCCGTCTGGTCAATTTTAGGTCAATAAACGTGCGCAAACGCGCGCGTACGCGTTCGTCCGCGCGTTTACGCGCGCGTACACATTTAAAATGCTCCAAATCATCCCAATTTTTTTTTGCATACGTTTCAGGCCATTTGAAGCATTCCACACAAAAAAAAAGCGCACACGCGCATGCGCGCGCGTTTTCGCGCGTACTGGCATTTTGCAACATTGAATCGCCAAATTTTCTCTTTCATCATATTTGGCATATTTTTTCAAGCATGTTGATAACTTGTTCACCTTTTAATAACGCAATGGACGTTCGTCAAATTTGACAGCACGCGCGGATCTGCGTTATCTGTATCCACAATACATGGGCAAAACATGCCTATACAAAATTCATTGTAACTCGTCAGAATGGATGGGAACTCCCAATATCTCTTCATATTTGGATATATTATGAGTTGGAGATATGATTTTATGTCTCATTTAACCGTCAATTTACTCATGACGTCATCATAATGGCCTCCGAACTCAAAATTTCAATTTGCATATTATGACGTAAGCATATTTTTGGAAAATTGATTGTATCTCTGTAAATATTGATCTTTTTTCTTCCAAATTTTGATATGTTTTAGCTGAGACAATTTTCTACAAATACAGTTATCATGATTTTTTAATTTTTACAAAGGCATCATGGCGTATTTTTGCGATTAAAGGAGACGTGTCAATTTTTCACATTTTGCGTGTATTCTCTATGGGACATGACTTTTTCTCAAAACTGGATTCTACATTTTCGTGTTTCGCGAGCAATATCTCCCTTGTCTGAGCTTGTTGTAGCTGAGACAACAAGCTATCTCTAGTGTGCACTTTATTGTTCGATCAGATGCCGGGATCATGCTCATATTTCACTTGCAAAGTGGGATTTGAGAATTCCATTTTCCGTTTACGTGTAATCGCTAAGGGAAATGTTTTGGTATATCGGTAACGTACTTGACTTCCGACCTTGTGATCCCTGGTTCGAGTCCAGGCGTCTCCAACAATTTTTGTCTTCACTTTTTTTTTTCTTTTTGACCTTTCACTGTACCATCTCATTTGATTATTAAAACAAGCAGAATCGTCAATAATGTAATAAGCAACCCTATTTACTTTATTATTACCCTATTTACACTTAATCTTTTTGCGTGTAATCCCCATGGGAGATGACTTTTTCTCAAATCTGGATTGTACATTCCTGTCTTTTGTGAGCGATATCGCCGTTATTTCTGCTTGGATTTTGTTGATGTTTGAGTATGTTGTAGCTGAGACAAGTTCCCACAAGATTTATGTAGGCCATTTAGCATTATCATGATGTTATCAAAGTAAGAAAATCAATCATAGGTAACATGTCAGAATTTTCACAATTTGCGTTTTATGCCTATGGGAGGTGACTTTTGCTCAAATCCTGATTCTACATTCCAGTTTTGTTCGAGCAATATCTCAATTAATTTCGCCGTTGGTTTTTTGTCAGATCTGGATGTGTTGTAGCTGGGAAAATTCTCTACAAGGAGGGTGACCTTTATTGCTTAATCAGATGTTGGGATCATGGTGATATTTTAACTACAAAATGTGATTTGAGAATCCCATTTTCCGTTTACGTGTAATGTCTATGGAAATATTTTGGTCCAAGTTGGTTGAAGCACTTGCCTTTTATTCAATCGACCAAAGTTCGAAGGTTCGATTACCGGTGGGTCAATATTTTTTGTATGTGTTGTTGTTGTTGGTTCTGTTTTATGATTTCATCAACCTTTTCAACTTTCATTAGATATACTATTACAAACAATTAAAATGCCTAATTGTGTGAGCTTTTACTGTGTGTAATAAACCTAAAGAGTAGGTCTATTGTAAATATTTCTAAAAATATTATACATGAAATTAATAACGGAATATTATATCATGGATTATTTATGGACCTATCTAAGGCATTTGACACCATCGACCACCATATTTTACTTTAAAAACTGAACCATCACGGTGTACGGGGTATACCTCATCAGTGGTTTTCTGATTATTTGTATAATAGAAAACAATATGTGGTGGTCGATGGTGTCGAATCTGATTATATGGATGTAAATAATGGAGTTCCGCAAGGATCGGTTCTAGGACTACTTTTGTTTATCATATGAATGATATTATTAGCTCATCCGAATTACTTTGGTTTTCATTATTTGCTGATGATACAGTTGTTTATTTTCTCATTCCAATGTAACATGCTTAGTTTCTATTTTTAATGAATAGTTAATAAAATTGAATGATTGGTTTAAATGTAATTTAAACAAATTGAATTAATAATCCAAAAAATAAATATGTAGGCCTAATTTTTCACACAAAGAAAAGGAAAGTTCCACATTTCACCAATCCTGATTTTTTTTTTCTCTCTCTCTGTCTTTCTACACTTTCACTGCCATGCATATTAACACTCATTTCTAGATTGAACACCTTATAGATGTTGAGTTATGGATGGGTAAAATATTAGTGTCTTACTCATATTTTTTATTAAATCAAACTAAATAAATCACTGTGTACATGTTTTAATAAAAAGAAAAGTGTTAAAAACTTTATTTGCTTGTTACCTCAAGACTTGACAGATGGCAAACGGAAGAATTGACATCCATAGTGCGTCAAAACGCTATTAAAATGGTAGATCTTTCTTTCCAATACGGCACGGTCAATATCGTCATCGACATAGGCACACTTTCATGATCGTAATTTAAGAGCCTAATTATGCTAGAAATAGTGAGGCATCTCCTCCCCCCCCCCCCCCTCCTCTGTCTCTTGCTCTGTTTTCCTACACCTCTTCTGTTCTGCCCCTCTCCTTCTCTTGGTCTCTCTCTCTCTGCATCTCTCTTTTTCGATCTCTTTTTACATTTTTACCCTCTTCTTCTCTCTGTGTTTCCCTCTCCCTCTCTTGCTCTGTCTCCCTTTGTCTCTGTGTCTCTTTTTCTACTCTCTCTCTCTCTCCTCTTTCTCCCTGCATCATCTCAGCTTGTATAATTTATTAGTTTACTTCATGTATAACCATTACATCAAAACAAAGTTGAGGCAATTTCTATCGTTTAGCCATTCACTGCCATGCAAACTAACCACCATTTATAGATTTAACATCTTATAGATGTTGGGTTATGGATGGGTACAATATTAATATATTACTCATATGTTATATTAAATTAGAACTAAATAAATCACTTTGTACATTTTGTAATATTTATTAAAAAAGTGTTTTGAGCTTGTTTATTATAAGTAAACAGTTTAATCCTCTATCGAAAACCTGAAGGGGGCGCTGTGCCACTTTCAATCATGGTCAACATTCTAATATCGTCATCATCGTATTCATGAACATAATCGTCAACACTTTCATGATCAGTATTCAAAAGAGCTTATCTGTGCTAGAAATATGGAAGGCATTGTTCTCAATTGCATATCTCTCTCTCCTCTGTCTTGCTCTGTTTCCTTTCTCCTCTCATGTTATGCCCCTCTCCTTCTCTTGGTCTGTCTCTGCATCTCTCTCTCTCTACTCTTTCACCCTCTCCATCTCTCTCTCTCTCTCTCTTGCCTCTCCTCTCTCTTATTCTCTTGCCTTGCCTCCCTCTTATTCTATTGCTCTGTCTCCCTTTGCCCTACACAGTTGAAACTTGACTCATGGATACACCATAATGGGAGTAGTATTTTATAACATAAGATGAAATCGTGAAAATGCGTTCTTCATTATGTTACAAATGAGCATACGTATCACCTAATTCGTCAAAGTGACGAATTAAAGTCTAGTATTATTATTATAATCATTATTTTATCAGGCCTCCATCTCACTTCGCATACATAACTCGATTCACCAGTCCTTCTCAGGACTTCTCTCACGAAAGAAGAACTCTCTCATACATTTATCTACCTCTATCCGTACAATACCAAATAATTCTCCACATGACAAAACAAAAATAATAACTCACTCTCACTCTCTTTTTTGTCTATCCCTTTTCAAACCCAAACAGTTCTATTAGGACTATCCGTATGGTGAAACTGCAAAGTTATGAATTTATGATAAATAATTATTCTAAGAATACCGGTAAGTTACGAAGCAAAAAGGTCGTTTCGTATAACCCTTGACTCTTGGCTGTAATTTATATCTTTTGCAACATAATTAATTTCTTCACAGATCTGCTTGATACCAGTATCTGCGGGACACACCCTGCCTATGCACCCGACCAATCCAGGATTGTTGGTGGTATCAATGCACGCCCAGGGGAATTCCCTTGGATTGGATATTTGGGGGGTAAAGTCTTATGCGGGGCTACTTTGATTACCTCACAATGGGTGCTAACGGCAGCCCATTGCATGTAAGTATTACACAAGAATGTCCCTCTGTTCTAACACCCATCTTTCTCAACATCCTTATATCCTATACCCCTTTAACCTCACACCCATAAACATTAATACTTCATGAAAGTTCACCTTTATTGGTGATCAGGGGTGGCCGAGCGACTTCCTAAGTGGGGGCACCTAGAAAAGGGGCACTTTCTGGAAAAAAGGGCACCTACAAAGGGAAATCTCAAAGTGAAAATATACAATTTGTTAGACATTGGTATAAACCCCTACATTGTGATTACAATTACCAGGGATGCTTTCAATACTTTCTAACTTTGTACACCAAACAAGATACGGCTTATGCATCATGTTTTGCATTTGGGTTTGATTGTCTGCGAATGTTTGCGAGCGAGGACAAATTTAAAGATGTGTGCTGTCGAAGTGCGAAAAATTACATCTTATCAAGAGGTAAAACCCAATCCTAATGGGGTTATAACCACATTCTAATAACGGAAGACTGAAAAGACCTTTGATAAGTAACGTAAGTATATCATCTATACAGTCGCGTACGCAGGGGGGGGGTTAACCCCCCCCCCTTCAGTTTTTGTTATGTGTATTTTTTTTTGAGAACCCCCCCCCCCCTTTGAGGGTTTTTTGTTTTTGTTTTTGTTTTTGTTTTTAGTTATATTACAACAAAAATGACCTTAAAAAAGATGACCTCCCCCCCCCCCCCCGACGGAACAGAATGTCGATCGGTCAAATTTTGGGGGCCGATGTCTTCTTACCCCACCCCCCCCCCCCCACTCGCTTATTCAGTCTTGGAAATACACCTGTATCTTGTTTTAGAATTAACCATGCCTTAAATACCAGATTGGGTTAAAGTTGAATTTACACGGTAAATCATGAAATTAGAATTAGTACATCAGTACCTTCAATTTCAAAAATCAGTGCCTTCAATTTCGCCTCGCCTCGTAGCGAAATGAAAGTTTTCTAACGTACTACCGTGTCTGCTAAAAAGCAAAAAAAAAAGCAAAGCGGAGATTTACGGTATGTCATATAAATATGTTTGAAATAGTTGATTTGTTGCTTTCGTGTTTGATTGAAAGAAAGAAAAAAAATCATTTTAGTAATTGGCGTATGGGTTAAGTGCCTTCACACGTTCAATCACCGCAGGAATAACGCTGTCGAAGTGACGCATCGTGTGCCGTTGGCGGATCCAGGGGGGGGGGGGGGGGGGGCCCGGGGGGCCCGGGGGCCCCCCGGCCCCCCGCCCCCCCCCCCCCCCCTTGAGAAAAAAATCATGTAAATCACGTGATTTTTTACCTTTTTGGGGGGTGGGCCCCCCCCCCCTGGCGCTCAAGGGGGGGAGGGGTGCAAATTGAAATTTTTTTGAGGATCAAAAAAAAAAAAAATGCTCACTACCCCCCCCCCCCCCCCCCCCCCCCCCCTGAGCGAATTTTTGGCCGGCGCGTTTTTCGAATTTTCGGGAGCAAAAAAAAAAAAAGTTGGGCCCCCTCCCCTAAGAAGTCCTGGATCCGCGCCTGTCGTGTGCAACGGTTATACCGACGAAAAAATCGTTTTTTATTAGGTTTGATTATCATATAACAACGAGGTGACAATGGCGTCTCGCGTGCAACGCGCATTATGGTTTAATCGCAATTATGCCATAGGTGCTGAATTGCTCTTTACTTTTTATATTTTCCTCCCAGAAACGGCTCAATTGATCAGGTGATCTTCGGAAGCCTTCAGCTGTCAGTTGGGTCCGAGTACGAAGTGATTGCCGAAGTGGACGCTACGATTATCCATCCCGACTACAACGCCGTGTCCAACGACAAGGACATCGCTCTACTGCGCCTGACTGAGCCGGTGTCTTTCAGTGATTACGTCAGGCCAGCATGTATAGCCTCATCGTCAAATGAATCGAGTGATTATCATCGATGCCTCGTCGCTGGTTGGGGGGATACCTCTGAAGGGGAAGTACGGCATTTTAATGTTTGATTTTTTAACGTTGATGAGCCTATGTTCTAAAAAAGCCTACGTTCCAGCAATATGTATGTGACTGCATGCATTGATAAGTTTTGCGTAGACCGGCCCATAGAAGAATTGGTTAATTTAGCAAGTGCTTGCGCGGCCTGTGTTGTACGCAAGGCGACACATGGGGTCGTTGGAACAGATGGATGTCGTATGCCATATGTAATAGGAGAGCGGTCGGCAGGTGCGGATCCAGGGGGGCGAGCGGGCCTTGCCCCCCCCCCCCCCGCAAAAATAAGGAGAGAGAGAAGGAAAAGAAGGGAAAGGGAAAGAAGAGAGAAAGGGAAACAAAGAAAGAGGAAGAAGAAAAGAAAAGAGGGAAGAAGGAGATCGGGGGGCAAAAGGACCTGCCTTCCAGGCTGTTGTCTCCCCCCCCCCCCTTCCCCCAATCAAAAAATAAAAGAGAAGGAAGGAAAGGGAAATAAAAAATAAAAAGAGGAGATAAAGGGAAAGACAAAAGAGGAAGAAGAAAAGAAGAGAAGGGGGATATCAGTTGCAATTTTCCCGCCAACAAGTTGTGGATCGGGGGGGGGGCAAAAGGCCCTAGCCTCCCCCCCCCCCACCCCTCCGTCCACGATAAAAAAAAGAGAAAGAAGGAAGGAAAAGGAAAAGAGGAGAGCTAAAAGGGAACAAAGAAGAGGAAGAAAAAAGAAAAGGGAGAAAAGAAGCGGAGATCAGTTGCGGTTAATCCCGCCAACAATGTGTGGAGCGGGGTGGGGACCAAAATGACTACCCCCCCCCCCCCCCAGCAAACCTAAAAGAGATATAAGGAGGGGAAGTGAAAGGGAAAGAGGAGAGAAAGGTACAGAAAAAAAAAGAGAATGAAGAAATGTAAGGAATATCACTTGCAATTTTCCCGCCAACAAGGTGTAGATCGGAGGGGGGGGGCACTGGCGCACTGATAGGGGAGGGGGGTTTGGAGAAATAGAATTCAAACGTGGTTTATTTCTAATTCCATAACGGTGGTTTACAAATAATGCTGAAATGAGATAATTTTCCGAGATTTGTCCTCACTTTATGCGTTTGTTGGAAAATGCCAAATTCCTAAATTTACAGCCAGGCAAGAAAATTCTTCTTGAGATGCCTACATATCAGGGCCCGCGAAACGGCGGGGATCGGGATCCTCGGCCCCCCCCCCCCCCACCTCCACACATCTTCCGGGGGCTCTGCCCAATGGACCCAACCAAGAGCCCTTAGGAGGGCCCCTTGATACTCATCTGACCGTAATTGAGTGCCTAAAACCCTTGAGATTCCGGGGCTCCGCCCCCTGAACCCCAAGCCAATTAGTGACCTTCCACTGTAACAATTAGGTATCAAAATAATGCTCATCTGACCGTAATTAAATGCCTAAAACTCCTGAACTTCCGGGGCCCTGCCCACCTGGACCCCGCTTAGGGCCCTAAGGCGGACCCCTGAATGCTTATCTGACCGTAAATTAAAACCTTAAACCCCTGAGCTTCCGGGGCAGACAAGGTATCAACATATGTTCATCTGACCGCAGGCGTGTAGCCAGAGGGCGGTGGGGTGGTCCCCCCATAAACGCCGGCCAAAAAAAGAGAGGAGTGAAAAGGAAGAGGAAATAGGAAAAAAGGGAATAGACAAAGAACATTTTTGAAATTCAGACTAGGATTAAGGGTCATAACGGTACAACGAATCGTCTTCTTTCCCTAATGATTTAATGAAACGTAAAAGCTTTCACGCTTCTCGCGAGATGGGGGGAAACATAATTCAGACGAGGATTATTTGGGGGAATGGTACCACGAATCGTCTTCTTTCTCTAATAATTTATTTAAATGTCAAAGCTTCCGCGCTTCGCGGAGGAGGGAGGGGGAAAACTCGCCCCTCCCTGCACCCACCCACCCCTAATTACGTCAGTGCTGGTCACCATTACGTATCAATATTTGGCTCGCATAATTTCAAATTTGCCCCCCCCCCCTAAGAAATCCTGGATCCGCGCCTGGCGGTCGGAACGTAGGGGGTAAAAGAGGACCGCATGGGTAAGCCCATACCACGTAGGGGAAGGGAAAGGGGAGTAAACTGAAACATAGGGACGGAAAACATAGGGATTACGAAGAATGGGGGTAATAAAACGGGGGTTACGTAACTTAGGAATTTCAAACATATAGGGTTGTCGAAACGTAGGGATGTCGAAATATAGGGTTGTCAAAACATAGGTTGTCGAAACATAGGGATGTTGAAACTTAATGTTGTTATTGTAACCGACCTTTTGTTGAGTGATAATACAACAAAAATACGAACAGTTTCGTAATATGGAAACATGGATCATTTTATTTACTCATCAGAATGATCAAGAAGGCTAAGTTTATGAATTTTGTATACAGATTGGTCGGAGACTTTACAAATAGCGGTGGTAAACCTTCTGGACCAAAAATGGTGCAATTCCTCCACTTCCGCCTTTTACAACGGTAGACTGACGGATAACATGATATGTGCTGGGTTCAAACAAGGAATGATTGATACCTGTCAGGTAAAATAAATCGCAAATTACTATAATTCGTAAAAAAAGAGGGATAATTTTTCGCAGTCTCCTATGATATACATGACCCTACGTCTGAATAGTCCAGATCTAAGAACGAGGAGGTGACGGGAGATGTTGAAGAATGAAGAGTACGATGAGGAAGGAGTGGAGAGGAGGATAACAGTCAGCAACAACTTACATACACCCCAATTGAGAGACGAATGCACACATGACAAATGTCTATGTATGTTCAAAGTGACAAGGCGGAAGGAAGAGGATTGGAAAAAATGAGGGGTAGAGGAGGAAGAGAACGAGGAAGAAGGGGATGAGGAGGGGACGAGGAGGAATAGGAGGAGAAGGAGTAGAGTAGAAAGAGGGGAGGAGGAAAACATTCTTTATTTCCAATAACATTGTTTATCATATGTCGCCAGGGCGACAGCGGTGGGCCTTTGACCTGTGAAGGTGATGATGGTCGATGGTATCTGGTCGGAGCAACAAGCTTTGGAGATGGATGTGCAAGAAAAAGCTCCCCGGGTGTCTATACCCGAATCTCAAAGTTCCAAGATTTTATTACAGCTACGGTTTCGAATGGTAAGTATATAGTCGGGGCTGTTAAGGTTATATAGGGGATATTTGGTGCATATTCTTCTAAAAGCACCAAATTTGGCCCAGAGGTAGCTTATACCATACTATTACGATTTCTGCGGGCGCCCAAAAAAGCGTCCTCTGCAAATCCAAAATGGCCGCCATCTGAGTTACAGGTCAAGCGTAGTTCCAAAAGGAAAACGGCTTGTATGATAATAGTTTATATATTTTGGCGTATAATCGCAAATAATGTAATAAACAACCCTATTTACTCTATTATTACCCTATTCATCTATTACTTTTTGCGTGTAATCCCTAGGGGAGATGACTTTTTCAATTGCATCTCTCCCCTCTCTCTCTTTTCTCTCTTGCTCTGTCTCCCTTCACCTAGTCTTGTTCTGCCCCTCTCCTTCTCTTGGTCTCTCTCATCTGCATCTCTCTAGTTCTATCCCTCTCTCTTACACTTGCACCCTCTCCCCCTCACTGTTTCCCTTTCCCTCTTCCTCTCTTGATCTGTCTCCTTCTGTCTCTGCCTCTCTTTCTGTCTCTACTCTCTCCCCTTTCTCTCTGCATCATCTCAGCTTGTCTCATTTATATATATAACAATTTAATCCAAGGAAATTCGAGGCAATTTCTATTGTTTGGCCATTCACTGCCATGCATACTAACAATCGTTTCTAGATTTAACATTATAGATGTTGGGTTATGGATGAATGGGGCGCTGTGCCACTTTCAATCATGGTCACCATTCTAATATCGTCATCATCGTATTCATGAACATAATCTTTTTTTTTTTTAATTAACTGTCATGATCAGTGTTCACAAGAGCTTATTTATGCTAGAAAATATGGAAGGCATTGTTCTCAATTGCATCTCTCTCTCTCTCTCCTCTCTCTTGCTCTGTTTCCCTTCTCCTCCTATGTTCTGCCCCTCTCCCTTTTATGGTCTGTATCTGCATCTATCTCTCTCTCTCTACTCTACTCTTTCACCCCCCCCCCCCCTCTCTTTCTCTCTCTCTCTCTCTCTTGCCTCGCCCCCTCTTATTCTATTCAGGCATAAGCACTTATTTATCAATTACATTTTCATTTCTTTGAATAAGATAAAAATCGTCAAAATGCGTTCGTCATGATGTAAATTAGAGTCAAAGGTGTAACTGGTTACTGCACAGAGTCAATGATCATATATTGTCTCAATCTATCTTCCCTAGATCCATAATGATCAAGGGATCGACACATTTTAAACTTGACATATGGATAGATCATAATGGGAGAAGCATTTTATAAAATAATATGATATCGTGTAATGCATTCTTCGTTATGTAAACCAATATCATACGTATCACCTAATTCGTCTAAGTTACGAATTCAAGTCTAGTTATTATTATTATTATACCTATTATTATTATATTTGACACGTGGTATTTTTTTCAGCCCGAGGCGTGCGAACCCTAAAAGTTTTTTAAATTTCAAAGGATTTCCTTACTTAAATTATAATATAAAGTATAATCATAGTTGTTATTAATATTCCCCCCCCCCATGTTCCCCATTGTTCAGGTCTGTTTTTTCCATATGGATTAAATGAAGGGGACGAATTCCTACCAGCCAACGATGATGGTTCTACAAACGAGCTACCAATTTCCGTCGCCTTCCCGTTCTTCGATCACGACCATACTAGTCTTTTTGTAAGTCCCTCGTTGCTTGAACCACAATATTTTGTTTAAAAGAAATCTGTCGAACCCGTTACTTGATATCACATTTAGGAACACATATCATAGATAAGATTTACGTCACATTTTGGTACATAATCATCTGGACACAATCGATGTCCCATAAACATGATAAAGATATCGAAGGCTAACAATTCTTTAACTTATTTTAAATTTTAAAAGGAAATACAATTTTTAAATAATCCCAGCGTATTTTACATCCAGGACTTGCTGCGATTGTTACCCCCTAGTGCAGTCAAAGGACTAAGGCATCGTCAACAACTCCTACGTTCGGCCCCCCCCCCCTCCTCTCTCTCTCTCTCCCTCTCTATGTGTGTGTCTGCGTGCGTGTGCGTGTGTGTATATCAGTATGACCTGATTAATCTGTTTTCTTTTTAATTATTATATCACCGTTCGTCTTTTTCAACTTTCCAGATGAATTGGCCATATTTATACTTAATACCGCCTTCACTATCTGTCTCCCCATTTCTTTGTTTTCGTTTATGTGCTTTCCTTCTAATTCTCTCTATGATATCCCAGCCTTGTCACTAAAATTTACTACCAATCGCTTTTCTATAAACGTTGATGCAGGTCAACAATAACGGTGTCATCTCTTTCTTGGAAAGAGTTCCTCAATATACCCCCGATCCGTTTCCACTCGCTCTTGGCCGACGGCTTTTGACTCCATTCTGGGCTGATGTCGACACGACTAATGGTGGGACTCTATCCTATCGACAAGTCTTACGATTCGCCCAAAACGACGCCACATTCCTCGAAGCTGATGGAGTGATAAGAGCAAAATTTGTTGACATGAGAGATTTTGTGTCGTCATGGATGTACATCGCGACCTGGGACAAAGTAGCTTTCTTCCTTGCTTCTGATACCTCTATCGTAAGTAATAATCTATTGTTCGCCGCTGACCCTATTCATATTGATCATCTGTCGCCACTGTATTATAGATTTCTGGTACTGCGTCATGTTATGGCAATGTAATTAAAAAAATACCCCGACGAATTTCCACGAGAATAAAAATAAATCGGCATTTCTTATGACATCTTGCATCATACTAGACGACATTCGCCTTTTGGAAGTCATGTCGGCCAATTTGCAAACACGATAAAAGGATTACAGCAGATATTAGACCCAAGTACAAACCTCCTGGAAATCAAGCTGATCAAACATCTGACAATGTGTAAAACACGTCTTTATCTTTCACTAAAATTACTAACAATTAATAGTTATTTCATTCACCATCCTATCGTGCTATCCATTTTGTTTTAATGAAATATCATTTAATATTCATATCAAGATAATTTTGATATTTTACTTCAGAGGAATTCTTTTCAAGCTGTGATGGTGACAGATGGCCGATATTCCTTCGCCATCTTTAATTACGGTGATATCAACTGGACAACAGGAGCTGCCAGTGGTGGTAATAGTGATACTGGTCTTGGTGGTACCCCAGCTCAGGTAAATCATTAAATCGTTTGGTTTGTAGCTCCCTCTTTTTATAAAATGGATACACGCTTATAAATACGAGCTCATGTATTACATTTGCCCCTCCCAATTCTATGAAATAATACATCAGTCAAACCGCCAAACCGACTCCAAGTCGAGTCCAGACCGAGTAATCCTCCAACATTTGGTGTAATGTCATTTTTTGGTCAGTTTGATGTCGGTCACGTCGGTTGTGACTTTCGTACTAGGGTCTTAATTTTGAAAGATCCTTTTCACAATTTTGGTTTTAGTTTAGTCAGGAAGGCAAGTAGCCTCTTGTCGATGCCCTCGCGCTGTTGGAGTCTCTAAATTCTGACGAGCGAAGCGAGTCAGAGAAACCGAGGCGCTTGCGCGGAGGAGCCTCTTGTCGATGCCCTCGCGCTGTTGGAGTCTCTAAGGGTGCGTTTAATCGACACTTTTTCACCCTAGAATCACGGTTTCTAAAGACGTTTAGTTTAAAACGCAATGCGTTCAAGCGATTTTTTCGTCGGTCGTAAAAATAAACGTGTTTGAAAACACAAACATGAAACGCTGAAGAAGATGCGTTTTGTATCATGATTCAAAAGAATCACGGTCGCTAAAATTCGATTGAACGGACGGAGTTCTCAATCATGATTGTATGACGAAGCCTCTTCCGGTTTGGGAAAAACCGCGCGCCCGCTTTGCATGCAATTTGCGTTCACTATACCATCGTGGCCTGTTCCGTTATGTTATTCATTGTTTTTCCTTCTATCATTTTCTCTTTCTGTCTTTCCTTATGTTATTCTTTGTTTCTTCCTTCTATTCTTATGTTATTCTTTGTTTTTTTTCCTTCTATCACCTTTTCTTATGTTATTCTTTGTTTTTATCATTCTATCATTTGCTCTTTCTGTCTTTCCTTATGTTATTCTTTGTTTCTTCCTTCTATACTTATGTTATTCTTTGTTTTTTCCTTCTATCACCTTTTCTTATGTAATTCTTTGTTTTTATCATTCTATCATTTGCTCTTTCTGTCTTTCCTTATGTTATTCTTTGTTTCTTCCTTCTATACTTATGTTATTCTTTGTTTTTTCCTTCTATCACCTTTGCTTATGTAATTCTTTGTTTTTATCATTCTATCATTTGCTCTTTCTGTCTTTCCTTATGTTATTCTTTGTTTCTTCCTTCTATACTTATGTAATTCTTTGTTTTTATCATTCTATCATTTTCTCTTTCTGTCTTTCCTTATGTTATTCTTTGTTTCTTCCTTCTATTCTTATGTTATTCTTTGTTTTTATCATTCTATCATTTGTTCTTTCTGTCTTTCCTTATGTTATTCTTTGTTTCTTCCTTCTATACTTATGTTATTCTGTTTTTTCCTTCTATCACCTTTTCTTATGTAATTCTTTGTTTTAAGCATTCTATCAATTTCTCTTTCTGTCTTTCCTTATGTTATTCTTTGTTTCTTCCTTCTATCATCTTCTCTTATGTTATTCTTTGTTTTTATAATTCTATCACTTTCTCTTATGTTATTCTTCGTTTTAATCATTCTGTTACTTTCTCTTTCTATCTTTCCTTATGTTATTCTTTGATTCTTCCTTCTTTCACCTTCTCTTATGTTATTCTTTGTTTTAATCATTCTATCAATTTCTCTTTCTGTTCTTCCTTATGTCATTCTTTGTTCCTTCCTTTTTCACATTCTCTTTCTGTCTTTCCTTATGTTATTCTTTGTTTCTTCCTTCTATTTTTATGTTATTCTTTGTTTTTTCCTTCTATTACCTTCTCTTTTGTTATTTTTTGTTTCTTCCTTCTATTCTTATGTTATGCTTTGTTTTTTCCTTCTATCACCTTTTATGTAATTCTTTGTTTTAAGCATATTCTATCACTCTCTCTTTCTGTCTTTCTGTCTTTCCTTATGTTATTCTTCGATTCTTCCCTCTTTCACCTTCTCTTATGTTATTCTTTGTTTTAATTATTCTATCGACTTTATCTTTCTGTCTTTCCTTATGTTATTCTTTGTTTCTTCCTTCTATCACCTTCTCATTCTTTGTCTTATTATTGCGATCTATGCTCAAAACAGCAGTCGACAGTCGGCCGTAAACAATTCCAGAAAGCGCGCGCCGAAGTTCCTGGGCCATACTGCGCAGTGTGATGCGCAGTGGTTTGGCTCGCAATGAGCTAGAATCAGCGTTGATGAAAAATCGCTTGAACGCAAACCGCAGTGACCTTGCTTTTTGTAACGGCGTTTTGAATTGTGATTCTAGCTTCGAAAATTCGATTGAACGCACCCTAAATTCTGACTCGCTTCGCTCGTCAGAGAAACCGAGGCGCTTGCGCGGAGGGCCTCTTGACAAGTGATCTGAATTTCTTATGTTTTACTCTGGCGAATATTCCGACCCAGCAGAGTTCGGTGAAAGTCATCCAATCAGAGAGAGCTACTATGACGTAATATCTACCGCTCTGTGCGAATTCCTTCCGTGAGAGCGAGACTGGCCGCCTAGTTGTAGTCTGCAAGCACAAACCCTGGTCTGTCGTAAAAGAGAGTGTGCACTATAAGACTACCATATGCCATGTATTATAGCTGCTCCTGACCTATATTGGTACAACCAGTAGGTACCAGTAGATAGCTGGGCTAGGCTTCTCTCAAGGCACAATGATTTTTTGATAAAGTGTCAAATTAGAGTCTGTGCTTGCAGACTAGCCTTGTTGGGCAATTCCGAACACACACGTACACACACGCAATCGTTGCCGTCTAGACATGCATAATTCAGTAGGAAATCGGGTCTCATGAATATATAATTCAGATCACTTGTCAAGAGGCCCTCCGCGCAAGCGCCTCGGTTTCTCTGACTCGCTTCGCTCGTCAGAATTTAGAGACTCCAACAGCGCGAGGGCATCGACAAGAGGCTAGAAGGCAAGAGGCTGAAGTGAACTGTGCAGTCACATAGATTAAAGGGGGTGATGACCGTGATGCTCGGTTGCAAGTAATGTTGCACTGCTGGAACATAAAACCCTTTCAAATGCTATGCTGCATGTACAGTATCAATAAAAGGGAATAGACATACATGTTATAATCGTTACCTTAAAAAAGAGAGCAGGAGGAAAATCAAACCTAGTGTAGATCTCAATCGGTACTATTTAAAAAGAAATCTGAATCTATTTGGTTTATTTCCAACCAAAAAAAAAACTTTGCAGTGGCTTAGAGTCATAAGTATGTCAATTCAGTTTATCATCAAATAGATAATAAATAACTGAAGATCTTCACTCTTTATTTTTCTTTTCTTTTTTTTAGTCGGGGGGGGGGGTAATATGACATTAAATGAGACGAAATAAAACATGAATCGAACCCGTATCAAGTTACATTTGTTTCAAATTTTACATGCTTGACTCTGAGGTTGGATTCAACGCTGGTGACGGAATGACCTATTACAGCGTCCCTGGATCTCGGACAGCGGCCGTCGTCGATATCGAAACGACATCGAACATCGATGTACCTGGAAGATGGGTGTTCAGAACGGACAGCTCCAACATCGTAGGATTAGAATGTACAACCTCCGGTGCGTAAACAATCAACAACATTCTTGCTATTGCTGACGTAATAATCATCATCATCATCATAACTTTCCTTTTACTTTTACAAAGGGTTATTTACTTTCGGGTCATGATGACACCCCTTCTCTCCTTTTCTTCTTGTCTCGAGAAACTTCCCCATTTTAAGGTTTTTAAGGTTAGTAACCTTACTGCTTTCTTTCTTCACCATTTCTTTCCAAGAAAATTTCCGTCTTCCTTTGTCCCTCGTGCCATCCACTTCCAGATCCCATGCTCTTTTCACACGTTCATCGTTCTCTTTACTCAACTCATGATCCATTCATCTCAATCCATTCCTCTTTACCCCTTCCACCTCAGTTTATCCCAGATCCAACCATTCCATGTACTCATTTGTTTTCTTGCTATCGGACAACATTACACCAAACATCAATAAAGTTAGATTTGGTTCCTTTGTTTCTTTTTTTATATCAGCATGTCACATTTCCTTTGATATACTTTTACGTCTATTTCCTTTTAAAAAAGATTATCAGGATTTTATAACGTATCATAGATTCGGTCAATTAGAAGATATCTAAAATGATTATGTTTGTAGTCATCTCTTGATTTATAATTCAAAACCTGGTCAAATGACAAGGTATTGTGTGGAGGTGCGTAGGCAAGTGAGTGTGTTTAGTGCGTGGGTGGGTGTGCGCGTGTGTGTCCTTCTCTCTCTCTATCTCTTTCTCTCTCTCTCTCTCTCTCTCTCTATCCGCGTGAACTAAGTACACATATTAGCGTAATATTAGTATGCCACGCCCTCGTTCATACCACTTCGTTAACCAGAGGTTGGTTTTCCTCATGACAGGAGATATTTCCTTGTTCCCATTGGTTGGTTCAATGCTTGGCGGAACTCAGGTTCTCATCAACGGACCGTGCTTCAATTCAAACAACCTGATTATCTGTGATTTCGACGGATTCACAACTTCTGGAAGACTTCTGGAAGACGAGATCGCCCTCTGCGTTTCGCCGACTTTCTACAAGGTTGGACAGATTCCCCTGCGCGTGTCTCTAGATGACGGACACACGTTCGATTTCACAGGATTGTTCGCAATTAGTAAGTTCATATGAATAGCGTCTTTTGTACAAAGCTATAACATGTCCACCTTATGCTGTCATCAGGTCAGAATCGTAGGCTTATGCTATAGCTATGCATTACAAGAAATCTTGCCGAAATTCTTAAAAATTATAGTTCATGAAGAAATAAATGATACGTTCATGTTCTAAATCTTAATTCCAACCAATACACAACTGTTAATGGTTGTTAATTATACTTGCTTCTTCATTTGTTGGCATCGGTTCTAGGACACCTACCCCCTGGACATACACCCCCGGATATCCACCCCCAGTAAACTACCACCTAGGACAACTACCCCCTAGGGCAACCACCCTCTAGACGACTACCCCCGGGGAAACTACCCCCGGACAACTACCCCCAGACAACTACCCCTAGGACAACTACTCCCGGACAACTACCCCCCGAACAACTTTTCCCCGGGCAACTACCCCCAGACAACTACCCCCTACGACAACCATCCTGTAGGACAACTACCCCCGGACAACTATCCTAGGGGTAGTTATCCGGGAGTAGTTGTCCAGGGGGTAGTTGTCCAGGGGTAGTTGTCCTAGGGAGTAGTTGTCCGGGTTATTTGTCCGGGGATAGTTGTCCCAGGGGGAGTTGTCCTAGTGGGTCGTTTTCTGGGGGTATTTGTCAGGGCTCGATGTAAACTTGTCATAGGTAAAAATGTCAGTGGTAAAAATGTCAGAGGTAAAAATGTCAGAGGAAAAAATGTCAGAGGTAAAAAATGTCAGAGGTAAAAATGTCAACGGTAAAAATGTCAGAGGAAAAAATGTCAGAGGTAAAAATGTCAGAGGTATAAATGTTAGAGGTATAAATGTTAGAGGTATAAATAAAAACAAAATCATGTGGCAAGTTTTTTATGGTTACACCCGGGTTATATATTAGGCTTATCGAAAAAGAACAGCGAGGGATATTCTGCAGTCGTTATTTCACCGCTGCTTTATTTTCCACTTTTTCCAGTTGATCTATTTACCTTTTGGCCCCAAATTGTGACTTTTTGCCCGATTATTGCCGAAGGAAGACGGGGGAAGGGTATTCTTCTTCCGGGGCACGGTGACCCGGCTGCTCTCCCCCTTCCTCTTATATATATGCTTTGCTTTATATATCCTTCCGAACAGTGGTCAATGCCTAGGCAGAGCAGGCAGGCAATGACTATGTAATTTCCAAAAAATGCATATTTCCGACAATTCCACTTTCTTGTGGGCTTGGTATTTTGATACTCTGAAACAAAGCAGAAAGCCATGTTTTTAATGCTAACCCATCACATTCCCGAAGTGCGCGCGTTGCAATAAAATATTGTCGATTACTATTGCGGTATAAAATAGTCTGGGAGAAAATCAATAAGCAGCTTTGTTACTCCGATACAAAGCAGAAAGCCGCCCATGTTACATCAATTAAAGAGAAAGTTGAGTTCTGGGGAAAGGTGAACAATAATTTGTTAGCGTTTGTTATCATTCTTAGTTTCTAAGTGTGGAAGAACATCAAAGAAAAAAGTATTCCCTGAAAATCTATTTCAAAGGACTTCATATCCCATATATGACAAGTAACAGCTTTAAAATGAGGCCCGATTTGTATGCCATATGTTTGTGTAGTCCCATATCAATATCTTTCTGTGTATCCTGTACAGTACTTGTTACTTAACCAAGACTGGGCCAATTTTTTTTTATCATTTTGATGACTCCAAAACCTTGCACTACACACTAATACTTACATGTTTATGCTAGATGATCAACCTTTTCTAATTGCTTCCACACCGTTTCTTTCATGACTACCCTCAATGGATACATAATAATACAAATATGGAGGAAACAATATTGGCAAAAGGGAAGCAAGAAAGAGGGTGTACATTGGGTTATATTCAACGGAATAGTACTGTAAATGGAGTAAACAACTTTCTTTTTTGAGGGGGGGGGGGTAGCTTGTTCATCGTTACTATAGGACTGTTGTGCCCTAGTTCAGAATGTTTCTTTGCGAGTTCGTAAGTTTGGCAATGCATGCTCCGATTATCATTCAAATAATTACCTCCAGGATTGTTATATTTCCGGCCCATTTGCTTACTTCGGATTTAATAAAGATGGCGAGTGAAAGAGTTGTCTCGAAAGAGCACATATGTGAGAGCAGGCGCGTACGCAGGATTTTTTCAAGGGGGGGGGGGGGGGGGTTTAACATTTATAAATCGGGCCGAAAATTTCGCAACGACTCAGCATTTTGCTCCGGTGGGGGGGGGGGGGGGGTCATCTTTTTGAAGTCAGCCATGGGAATTTTTTTTTTTTTTTTTTTGTAAACATTTATAAATCGGGCCGAAAATTTCGCAACGACTCAGCATTTTGCTCCGGTGGGGGGGGGGGGGTCATCTTTTTGAAGTCAGCCATGGGAATTTTTTTATTTTTTTGTTGTAATAAAGAAAAAAAAAAAAAACACACAAAAGGGGGGGTTTTAGGGAAATTTAGGGGGGGGCTTACACACAAAAAAAATACCAAAGGGGGGTTAACCCCCCCAAACCCCCCCCCCCCCCCCCCCCCCCCCCCCTCCCCCCTGTGTACGCGCCTGTGTGAGAGTTATGTAAGTTACGAGGCCGATGAGTATTGCCGGAAAGCTAAACTCTGGAGGTTAAGTTCGCAAAATTAATAAAGTTCCTTTCCACATGAGTGTATGGTGCCGGGGATTATTTTGACGTAATGCGTCGTAGTGACACGCCCTTATAAGGGGCCACACGTGTCGTAGGGTTTAAAATGGGGATGAGCTTCTGAATCGAGACGGTCTTTTACTTTTTGGAGCGGGTTTTTAGTTTTCGGAGCGAGTTTTCACTTTTCGGGCGACTTCTTGGTTTTTCTCATTCTTACTCCACTTTCTTTGCCGCCAAGAGGTGCTAAAGCTTTAGCAGAGTTCGGGGCGCCCAGCCTATATATGTAACTTTTCGTGATTCCTCGTGATTATATGTAATTATTTGTACCGAATGCACTACTCACTTTAACACTTGACTTGTGTCGAGAACTTTCATTTCTTCGTTTGGACTTTGTTCGTCTCTGGAACGTTACACGGGCTAGGTTGTATAGGCTGCCACCAGCCAAACCGGTCCGTTTCACAAACATTAACACACCAACCAATTCAAAAAATCAAAAAATGTTAGACATTCATTCATATATGCAAGCCTGATCACAAACAACAAAAAAATTTCAAAATCTATTTTCTACATTGTATTATCTTCAGGACATGTACGAAATACAACACACAGCCATTTATAAAGTTAACATTATGGAAGAAAGGAATATAATAGACTAGCCCATGCACTAGCTGTACGTCTCGACATTCTGTGTGATAAAAGTGCTGAGATATTATGACGGCACTCATTTTTTTTTGGCTTGTACCTCAAACATTTTACCTCTGACATTTTTACCTCTGACATTTTTACCTCTGACATTTTTTCCTCTGAAATTTTTTCCTCTGACATTTTTTCCTCTGACATTTTTACCTCTGACATTTTTACCTCTGATATTTTTACCTGGCACCGTTGTCAGGGGGTAGTTGTCCCGGGGGTTAGTCGTCCTAGAGGGTGGTTGCCCTAGGGGAAGTTGTCCTAGCAGGTAGTCCTAGGGGGTAGTTGACTCGAGGTGATTATCCGGGGATGGATGTCCAGGGGGTAGGTGTCCGGATACGGTTGACATCATCTTGCTCGAATAATGCCTAGATATAACTTGAGTGATTTACAGTGCTTTGATTGGAGGTTGGGACTAGAGAGTGACTTGAGCACAAGTCTGAAAGATTAAACAGATTGCCTCGGTATCATGTTTATATACCTGGGCATCATTCACGAAATTGTCGTATGTACAACTTCGTCGACATCCCAATGAAATGAGAGTTGATTGTAATTTAGACATTTCAATGGGATGTCGACGACTGACTTGTATTTATGACGATTTTGTGAAACAATGCCGAGATTATCTAGACAATTAATTGTTTCCCCTACAGTCAGTGTCGAGTACGTTCCTGACAATGTATTTTCCTCGGTAACGGAAAGCAACCAAAGAGAGTCCGACTTCGAGATCACGTGGAACACAGATAACCTTGAAGGCGTGGACAAGGTTGACATCGTTGTCTACGGCTACCGAGAGGAGTCAGAAGACAATTTCGTGGAGTTTAGTGGACCTTTGGTCATAGTTGCAGAGGGAGTTGACTATCATCTCGGTCACTACAGTGTTGCAGGGTTACCAGACCTTGACATACATTACGACGTCGGTGTTATTGGGGTCATGGAATCTGAAGGTCAAGGAGGAGAGTAAGAATTAAATGAATTTTGATATCTTTTCCTCAAAATGTAGTAGTATTTGTATATTGTCTTAATGACTCTTTAAAAATACATGTATGCAATTTATCTTTTCTTCATGTTTATCCTCTCCGTTTTCCTGACTTCATGTTATATTCTGTTTTTTAAATTTTGCTGCCCAAGCAATCTTATCATATCAACTATATATACTTCAATGTTGACAAATCAATTTTAACTGTATTTTATGTTTGAAATATGCGATGAGTGTTTTAATTGTACACATGACCGATTCAGCCATTGGGCTTCGACACATGTTTGTTTAATAAACCTTGATTTGATTGAATGATAAGTTTATCTATCATTTCTTGGTAATTTATATAACGTGCATTGATTATTTTGAGCCTGGTGAACTATTGACCGAGATGTGATCTCGGCGCAGCAATTTTGTAGAGCTGAAGGCGAGGGAAGAATATATAGTATACAAATATACAATGAAACTCGAGGATCTGGGCCGAGGGGAAATAGTACTATTGATGTTCCTGAGTACGAATAGTTTTAGCTTGTTTCGAGAATGAGTCATTGTATATTTGTTTCATATCCCTTCCATCTGTGTCATTCCTTAGACACTACTGCGATAACATGTAATGTACTCACATTCACGTCACATTAAAACAAATAAAAGAAAAGAAAACTAGAAATGCAATCGTGTCACAACGATGTGCGTGCAATGACGCCATGTTTCTACGTGTCAAACGAAAGAACTTCTCTCGGACTATCCAGAGCAATTTGTACGAAATCTGTAGCTTCTACTGGAGATAGGTAGGGCGAAAGAAAGGCCTCAACAGTGACCTTGGTAGGATGGTTTATGCCTACGAAGTTTGAAAGAAATTGGGATAGGGGAAAGAACCTAGAAAGGGCTCGCAAGCACTGCGTGCAAAGACCAATGGGATTTGGTGCATGTTCGTCATTGCAATACAGTGGGGGCCAAAAGCGTGAACCCGATATGCCCCACAGACAATGCGTGTAATGCATGAGCGGAAAACGTACAGGATCTGTATTATGACCGGAGTTAAACTCGGCGGAATTCGTATAGTGACCCTTGTTCAAATGCAATTTACTCAAAACTTTCTGCGTGAACATATACATACTTAGTATCCGCATTCGAAAGGGCACTTCATTGCGGTCAGTTTGACACCATTGTCATCTGCGCGCAACGTACTGCACGCATTGAACGTGCTATTACGTATAATGCATAGTAAATTCCTCTTGTTTGGCGATAACTTTGCGCTGACGTCTTTAAATTTTACCAAACTTGGCAAACAGATGTCACGTATATAGATACATATGTCTGGCAAGTTTCAAAGACGTAAGTATAAGGATCGTAATTTTAGAGCGAGTCAAATTTTTTTCTCAATTTTCTTGAAAACTGCATATTTGGAGGGCATTTTTCGCAAAGTCGGTCAGCGTAAGGGTATATAATTTTGCATTTGGCTGGAAAGGGCATATGTTCAAGTATCTAAATCCAAAAAAGGGTACGGGTTTGCCAAGACACAATAGAGATACGGCCACAGAAAGAAAGCCAATTCCAGAACTTTAGAGGGCGCTATTTATGTTTTGCATGGCCATTCGAGCGTGCATTTTTGCATAGCTATGTGCAAATGTCAGATAAAGATACTGTGAGATTTAAATACAAAAGGAAATTTAAATGAGAAAGTTATGGAAGTTTTAGACTTTAAGGAGTCAATTTTTCAAAAATGTTAAAGATTTTTTATGGAGTCGGTTTCAGATTTGAATTTTGAGTACGAAGATGGCATTTTGAAGGTCAGGTTATGTCGCAGATAAGAGAACATCTCTTAGACTATCCAGAGGAATTTGTTAAAAGTTTGTAGGATCTAGGATAGTGAAGATAGGAAGGAAGGAAGAAAGAAAGGCCTTAAAATGGACCAGAAATGGACAAAATGGAGCCTGTACGGTTATGCATGAGTGTGATTTCGAAAATCGAAGAATCTAGTGACCTTGATGAGATGTTAGAGATTATGCCTATGAAATTTGAAAGGAAAAGGACATGAGGAAAGCATCTAACTAGGAATAACAAGCACCATGTGTAAAAGGAATGCGATTTCCTGACGATAAGGAAAACAAAGAGAATACTAGAAATGCAATCGTGTCACAACGATGTGCGTGCAATGACGCCATGTTTCTACGTGTCAAACGAAGGAGCTACTCTCGGACTATCCAGAGCAATATGTAAGAAGTATGTAGCTTCTGTGATAGTGGAGATAGTTAGGGCGAAAGAAAGGTCACCAAAACGACCCGAAACGGAAAAAATGGTGCCTGGACGGTCACGCATGAGGGTTTCCGGAGAACGAAGAATTCAGTGACCTTGAAGGAATGCTAGAGACTATCTCTACGAATTTTGAAGGGAATTGGAGTAGAGGAAGGGATCTAGAAAGGGCTCGCAAGCACTGCGTGCAAAACCAATAGCATTTGGTGCATGATGAACATGTTGCGACGCGTGCTTTGGCACGAACGGCCGCCCATACTAACACAACCAAATAACAGTCTTAAAAAATGACGTCATAGCCGAAACGTGTTATAATAGGGCGGAAACTCGGCGGAATTTGTATAGTGACCCTTGTTCAAATGTGATTTACTCACAATTTTCTGTGTGAACATATACCATACTTGGTATCATTCGAAAGGACACTTCATTGCGGTCAGTTTGACACCATTGTCATTTGCGCGCAACGTACTGCACGCATCAAACGCGCTATTACATAATGCATAGTAAATTCATCATTTTTGACGATAACTTTGCGACGAGGGCATTAGAATTTACTAAACTTGGCGGACAGTTGTCACGTATATGAATACATGTGTCTGTCAAGTTTCATTGATGTAGGTATAAAGATCGCCATTTTAGAGCAAGTTGAAGTTATTTCGGAATTTTCTTGAAAATGGCGAATTTGGAGGACAATTTTCTCAAATTTGGTCAGTGATAGGGTATATAATTTTGTATATGGCTGGAAAGGGCATATCCTCAAGTATCTAAATCCAAAAAAGAGTACGGGTCTGCCAAGCCATAATGGAGATACGGCCACAGAAAGAAAGCCAATTCCCAGAACTTTAGAGGGCGCTATTTATGTTTTGCAAAGCCATTGGAGCATGAGATTCGGCATGGCTATGTGCAATTATAAAATAAAGATACTGTGAGAATTAAAAACAAAACGATATTTATATGAGAAAGTTATGGCAGTTTTAGATTTTTTAGGGGTCAACTTTTCAAGAATTTGAGAGACTTTTGACGGAGTCGGTTTCAGATTTGAATTTTTAGTACGAAGATGGCATTTTGAAGGGCAGGTTATACGTCGCAGATTAAAGAACATCTCTTAGACTATCTAGAGGAATTTGTTAGAAATGTGTAGGATCTAGGATAATGGAGATAGGAAGGAAGATAGAAAGGCCTTAACATGGACCAGAAACGGACAAAATGGCGCCTGGATGGTTATGCATGAATGATTTCGAAAATCGAAGAATGTAGTGACCTTGAGGAGATGCTAGAGAAGATGCCTACGAAATTTGAAAGGAAAAGGACATGAGGAAAGCATCTAACTAGGAATAACAAGCACCATGTGTAAAAGGAATGCGATTTCCTGACGATAAGGAAAACAAAGAGAATACTAGAAATGCAATCGTGTCACAACGATGTGCGTGCAATGACGCCATGTTTCTACGTGTCAAACGAAGGAGCTACTCTCGGACTATCCAGAGCAATATGTAAGAAGTATGTAGCTTCTGTGATAGTGGAGATAGTTAGGGCGAAAGAAAGGTCACCAAAACGACCCGAAACGGGAAAAATGGTGCCTGGACGGTCACGCATGAGGGTTTCCGGAGAACGAAGAATTCAGTGACCTTGAAGGAATGCTAGAGACTATCTCTACGAATTTTGAAGGGAATTGGAGTAGAGGAAGGGATCTAGAAAGGGCTCGCAAGCACTGCGTGCAAAACCAATAGCATTTGGTGCATGATGAACATGTTGCGACGCGTGCTTTGGCACGAACGGCCGCCCATACTAACACAACCAAATAACAGTCTTAAAAAATGACGTCATAGCCGAAACGTGTTATAATAGGGCGGAAACTCGGCGGAATTTGTATAGTGACCCTTGTTCAAATGTGATTTACTCACAATTTTCTGTGTGAACATATACCATACTTGGTATCATTCGAAAGGACACTTCATTGCGGTCAGTTTGACACCATTGTCATTTGCGCGCAACGTACTGCACGCATCAAACGCGCTATTACATAATGCATAGTAAATTCATCATTTTTGACGATAACTTTGCGACGAGGGCATTAGAATTTACTAAACTTGGCGGACAGTTGTCACGTATATGAATACATGTGTCTGTCAAGTTTCATTGATGTAGGTATAAAGATCGCCATTTTAGAGCAAGTTGAAGTTATTTCGGAATTTTCTTGAAAATGGCGAATTTGGAGGACAATTTTCTCAAATTTGGTCAGTGATAGGGTATATAATTTTGTATATGGCTGGAAAGGGCATATCCTCAAGTATCTAAATCCAAAAAAGAGTACGGGTCTGCCAAGCCATAATGGAGATACGGCCACAGAAAGAAAGCCAATTCCCAGAACTTTAGAGGGCGCTATTTATGTTTTGCAAAGCCATTGGAGCATTAGATTCGGCATGGCTATGTGCAATTATAAAATAAAGATACTGTGAGAATTAAAAACAAAACGATATTTATATGAGAAAGTTATGGCAGTTTTAGATTTTTTAGGGGTCAACTTTTCAAGAATTTGAGAGACTTTTGACGGAGTCGGTTTCAGATTTGAATTTTTAGTACGAAGATGGCATTTTGAAGGGCAGGTTATACGTCGCAGATTAAAGAACATCTCTTAGACTATCTAGAGGAATTTGTTAGAAATGTGTAGGATCTAGGATAATGGAGATAGGAAGGAAGATAGAAAGGCCTTAACATGGACCAGAAACGGACAAAATGGCGCCTGGATGGTTATGCATGAATGATTTCGAAAATCGAAGAATGTAGTGACCTTGAGGAGATGCTAGAGAAGATGCCTACGAAATTTGAAAGGAAAAGGACATGAGGAAAGCACCTAACTAGGAATAACAAGCACTACATGCAAAGCGAATGGAATTTCTGGACGATAAGGAAAACAAGGAAAAGGAGGAGAATACTAGAAATGCAATCGTGTCAGAACGATGTGCGTGCAATGACGCCGTGTTTCTACGTGTCAAACGAAAGAGCTTCTCTCGGACTATCCAGAGCAATTTGCACGAAGTCTGTAGCTTCTGTGATATTGGAGATAGGTAGGGCGAAAGAAAGGCATCAACAGTGACCTTGATGGGATGGTACTATGCCTACGAAGTTTGAAAGAAATTGGGATAGGGGAAAGAACCTAGAAAGGGCTCGCAAGCACTGCGTGCACAAACCAATGGGATTTGGTGCATGTTTGACATTGCAATCAAGTTCGTTCTGGGGGCCAAAAGCGTGAACCCGATATGCCCCATAGACAATGCGTGTAATGAATGGGCGGAAAACGTGCAGGATCTGTATTATGGCCGGAGTTAAATTGTTTTTTCTCTCTCTCTTTACGTCTCTTTATGGGCCGTATTTGGTATCATTAGAAAGAGAATTTCATGGTTGTTATTGTAAACCACTCTCTTTTTTTCTATGATAATCCTATCGAAACACGTGATGTAAAATAGATTTATAGGACAAAATGGCGTCTTAAATGGCCCCATTGACCAATTTCAAAAATCCGGCCAAGAGGTGCCCTGCGTATTGGAACTCGGCATGTCACTGCAAATTTTCAAGGAAAAAAAAGGACGTTTAAGGGGCGAAAAGCAGTCTGAAAAATTACGTCATAGCCGACACGTGTTAGATTCGTGCAAAAACTCGGCGGAATTCGTGTAGTGACCTTTGTTCAAATGCGATTTACTCACAATTTTCTGTGTGAACATATACTATACTTGGTATCATTCGAAAGGGCACTTCATTGCGGTCAGTTTGACACCATTATTATCTGCGCGCAATGTAGTGCACGCATTAAACGCGCTATTATGTAATGCTTAGTAAATTCATCATTTTTGGCGATTACTTTGCGCTGACATATTTGAATTTTACCAAACTTGGCGGACAGTTGTCACGTATATGGATACATATGTCTGCCAAGTTTCATTGATGTAGGTATAACGATCGCCATTTTAGAGCAAGTTGAAGTTATTTCGGAATTTTCTTGAAAATGGCGAATTTGGAGGGCAATTTTCTCAAATTTGGTCAGTGATAGGGTATATAATTTTGTATATGGCTGGAAAGGGCATATCTTCAAGTATCTAAATCCAAAAAAGGGTACGGATTTGCCAAGCCATTATGGAGATACGGCCACAGAGAGAAAGCCAATTCCCAGAACTTTAGAGGGCGCTATTTATGTTGTGCAAAGCCAATGGAGCGTGAAATTTGGCATGGCTATGTGCAATTATGAGATAAAGATATTGTGAGATTTAAATACAAAACGGAATTTATATGAGAAAGTTATGGCAGTTTTAGATTATTTAGGGGTCCATTTTTCAAGAACTTGAGATTTTTTTGACGGAGTCGGTTTACGATTTGAATTTCGAGTACGAAGATGGCATTTTGAAGGTCAAGTCATATGTCGCAGATGAAAGAACATCTCTTAGACTATCTAGAGGAATTTGTTAGAAGTTTGTAGGATCTAGGATAGTGGAGATGGGAAGGAAGAAAGAAAGGCCTTAAAATGGACCAGAAACGGACAAAATGGCGCCTGGACGGTTATGCATGAGTAATTTCGAAAATCGAAGAATGTAGTGACCTTGATGAGATGTTAGAGACTATGCCTATGAAATTTAAAAGGAAAAGGACATGAGGAAAGCACCAAACTAGGAATAACAAGCACTACGTGCAAAACGAATGGGATTCCGGACGACAAGAAGAAGAGGAAGAAGAAGTAAGAATATTAATAAGAAGAATGTGAACGAAAACAAGGCAATGACGAAGGTTCGTCATTGCAATAATAATTGCACTGCTCAAATGAACATTGAAGGATGTAGTAGTGTAGTGCAGTTACGGCACAGCGTAAATTACACGGCTGAGCGCCGTGACACCGCGGGAGTTGACAGTGCGGAGGCATTTGATATCCTGTATACGCTCGCTAAGTTTTGCCAGATCGAAAGGGGGCGGGAAAACGAATAGTTAACATTTTTCCCTAGGGAAAGGGTGAACTATTCGTGACGTCAGCAATAAAAATGAACTATTGGGCAGGAAACGTCTTTCCTAGTAAAACTTTTCTTTTTCTTGCTGTGTTAACTCCTAATGCAACAATCTTACGATAAGGGATATTACGATATAGACGATTTGTGCAGGTACTACAAAGCTTGCATAAGGTCTGTTTTGGAGTACGCATGTCAGGTCTTTCACGGGGGCCTAACCAAAGAGCAATCTAATTTATTGGAATCAATACAGAAACGTGCCTTGAGAATAATCACCCCCAACGTACCTTATACTGACGCTATAAATGTACTGAACATTGATTCTCAAGCTTATCGTAGAAATAATATATGCTTGCAATTATTCAACCAAATACAGAAACCTGAACACAAACTAAATGACCTTCTCCCAGCAAAACGAGAGACAAGATTTAACCTTAGGAAAAGTAAACAAGTGAGTCTGCCCAGGTGTAAAACAAACCGATTTAAGAATAGTTTTATCCCTTGGTGTGCGTATAATTTACAATAAGCATGTAATTAGTGCAATATACATTTCCAACCATTCAATATTCTTTTGAACTTGTACCCCGACACATGCAGCTGGTTTGTAATTATATATATATATATATATATATATATATATATATATATATTTATATATTACTTTTACTTTAGAGTATCAATTTGAAATAATTATTCAGTACATGCAGTTTTTCAGTTTATACCCATACGTTGACTTTCTTTATAATTATATTATCTATTTTGATATTTGGATGTAGAGTTTACTTGATTGATCATTGCAGCTTTTCACTTCTTTACTTTCTTTCTTTTCCTCTCTCCTGCTCCCTGTTCTTGTCTATCCAAGCTTATGTTGTTTCCCCCTTTTTTTTTCTTGTAATTATTTATTTGTAAAATGATATACCTGAATGATTTGTAATGTTCTTTGTAATGATCTACATGTATTTATTTTCATAATTTATCAATTTCATTGTACTCAATTTAATAATGTTCATAACCATGTTGAAAATGTATGTATTATCAATCCAACCCTTTGGTTGCTATGAATAAATAAATGAATAAATAAATAAATATTATACCTAACATACCTGAGGTCACTTAGGCGATGATAGTTTCCACCCGCACGAGGAAAGGGGGTTCATAATTTGTTTGTTTCCCATATAGATATAACGACTGCTTTGATATTCGAGGAATAGTTTCTAATATAATGCTCTCGGGGACGTTGCATCTTGCTATCACCCCTCGGTACGCCTTGGGTGATAGTAGGATGCAACGTCCCCTTGAGCCTATAAAACAACTATTTCTCTCATAGTAGGCATTATATTTATACTATCACGCCAAGATAGAAAATAATAATATCACACCAAGAATAAAGCAATCCACCAGTTTCCATGTGACCTTGTTTAAACCAATCGTGTTGCAGGATTCCTGATAAGTGGGATAGAAATATGTATCTACTTGGTTCCCTAATCGTTATTTTCTCGGGTTCTTTTAGTTCTAACCGGGCTGCCCTCTGGAGCAAGGTCCATGTTCTACAGTGGCACAACGGCGATGACGTCACAAATTGGTGCAACGATTGGATTGGAATAGAACTTCTGTCTGATATTTCCTTTCTGTCCGTCACACACTCGTGCCCATGTACACTTGACCAGGCCCAGATCGACATAGGGAGGTTTAGTCCGCATCCGCTGTGCGATGTTGGCATCTCGTCGCCTAGCAACTGTATCCATAAACCTGGGGCGATACACTGCGTACGAGCAGACACACCGAGGTATTTCATTTTAATTATTAATGTGAAAGAGCTAGCTTCTCCATACTATATTGGCATGATTAATAATAACCATTACGAATCCACTTACAACTCTTATAAAGCACTTCACCAGTAACAACTTAGCCAACCGAAGCGCTTAAAGTATTATTAACCTGGAATCAATTACGATTCTACACACACACACATGTACATTTCAACGTGCACACTCTCCACTCCACTTGGGTGCATTCCAGTCAAACGTCTGTTTTTAGGACGCCAACATGCTAATCCAAATCACATAATTATGACGTCCACATACTAGCGAGGAGCCATTTAACATCCGACTGGAGAGTTAAAGTGCCTTTCTCGAGGTTTTAAGTACTCAAGGACGCCTCAACTATATTCGATATTAAACTGATTTCACTTGTTAAATACGACAAAAATAGTTTTGTACAATTTTCGTTTTTATACACTACAGTATGACCTGACCTTTTCAAAGTGTTAGAATTGAACAAGATATGTATAGATTTTAAGATGAATATCCTGCATGGGGGGGAAGTAAACGTCAACTTCTGCTTTTTCAGCACACTAGGAGGGGGACAGGAGTGTTGCTATGGTGATGAAGGAATGATCATTAATGTAGTTGATAGTCTGGGAGGGGGCTACAGCCATCGTTACCACCATGGGGGCGTTACCCCATATGGAGAACCTAAAAAGGTATGTACCTTTTCGTATGATTATGTATTTGGTGTGACTCTTTGTCAAACAATTAGAAGAAGAAAGGAAGAGGATTATACAAATTATACAAAAGCGACGAAGAGAACAATTCAACCACACACACCCACCGACGCACACACGCACACACACACACATACACACACAGGCAGTATTAGTCCTGCTCGGAGTTTGAGATAAAAGGCAAAAATATAACAAATATTAATCTTCCGTGCAAAAAGAAATTGTTTTACAAGTTTTCGCCCTCAAGGAATGATTTTATTTGACTTTAAGAAACGTTATTCGTCAAAACATGTGCATCCTATCCCCCCATAAAATGTGGCGGTGCGCAAAGAGAGAGAGAGAGAGAGAGCAGGAGTAATTACGTCATATAGAGATAAGAAGGCAGAAATAAGGAAAAAGGTAATGCTACATTTACACTATGTTCCCGGCGGCCACGGCAACCCCGTTTGACCGAAACGTAGTGCGCCGTGGTAATTTGGCCGTTTTCCTCTCTGTATTCAAGTTTAGTTACGTCTTGCCAAGTTTTCTCACGGTCTACCACGGTATCCGTGACGGGCCGTTGGGGAGGCTCCAAGACGCACTACGGTTCGGCCCGCGTTCTACCACGGATGACAGAACGTTTCCTCCCGGCCCGTCACGTTTTGATGGGGTCCCTCACGTTTCTCACGTTCTGATCAAGTTCTGACACGTTTTTCACGTTCTGTCAAGGCTTTCTACGGATGAAACGTGGACGCCGGGCAGCTTTGGAGCACGGTTGTGCCCACGGTATAAAAAGAAGGCCTCCCAAGCACTTCTGGTGGTGGTGGTGGTGCAGGACGGAGGGTTTTCGAACGAATTGGCTTCTTCGGTGGCATAGCTTGACCTTCTTTCATCGTATTGTAGATGCAGTAATGTGTCGTCGATTGCTCAGACTCGAATGAAGCTCCTGCCGTGTCCGTCTTTTATATACTACCTCCCGACCGCGTGCGACGTGTCAGAACGCAACGCGCCGCTTCTGTAAACCGTCATACGCCGGGATGCGCTGTGATTAACGCGACAAAACGGCTACCATACACCCTGGCCTGCCGTGAGAACCGTGGCAAACCGTGGCAAAACGTGGCAAAACGGGAGAAAATGCGCAGCAACCGTGAAGCAGCCGTGACAAAACGTGCACTAAACGTGGCAGACCGTGACAAAACTTGAACAGACCGTCAGATGCCGGGGAATGTGCGGGCCTCCCGACCCACTACGGACCACCTCCAAGTTTTGTTACGGCCTATTACGGACTGTCACGTCTTGTTACGTTCACCCCGTTTCGTCCACGGCGGCCTGAAACGTGGTTGACGTGGCCGCCGGGAACATAGTGTAAACGTAGCATTAAAGCAGTAATAATACGCCATAAAGAAAGCAAATGAAGACAGAAAAGGAAAGCACAATACAGAAGACCTGAATTAACAGTTAAGTGAAGTGGGAAGAAAACATACAAAGGGAGAGAGAACAAAAAAAAAGAATAATAGAGAGAAAAGGGAAAGACAGAAAAAGCGAAGATATAAGACAAAAGTTAAGAACTGGGAAATTAATGAAAGTGACATTGAGTCCATCCGGCTGCAAGCAGCCCAGCCGATAATGATTTGTTCTTCCCGGAGCTTACGATGAACATTTGTACTTAAATAGCATCTGACAGCTCCATAAACGTTGATACACATACTTAACATATATTATACATAAGTATAAATAATATATAAATGTGTAGCGGCTCGTACATTCGCCCTACTTTTATCGTACATTCATGTCTCCAGTATATTTCCATCACGCTACTTATTTATATTCATTATTCGGACCACGGGTGTTCATTCCTTCAATCACGCAACGTGTTTCCGCGCATTCCTTCGCCCGCGTGTTTTCAACGCCACGAGGTTTTACTCCACTCCCGCTCTCACCTTGGTCGAGTCCACACGTCTCTGTGATCCTCTCTCTATACTCGAGATTTCTTCTGTGCCTTTCGCCTATTCTACGGCACATTTACATTTTCTCTGCCGTGTTCATCGGGCTACAGTCTCCCAGTGGAACGTTATAGTCAGCACCGACATGGCGCCTGACTCTCCGCTGGGAGCTGCCAGTTTTCTTCGTTCCGGTAGCTCTTTCCACTCACGAGCTCATCAATTCACCGCAGCTCATCTAAACATTTCTTCATCAAAGTCCTGGTCATTCATCGAGCGACTCACTGCTCTTCTTAACTACCGGCTTTGCTTGTCTACATTTCTATTCTTCACCCCCACACGAGCACGACTCACATAGCTCATCTGAACAGTTCATCAATGAGTTCGATTCACCGCAGCTCTGATGAACTTCACATCAATCAAAGTTCGGCTCATCCAACTCATCGAGCGACTCACTGCTTCGCATCGGCACCGACTTTGTTTTAATCATTTCTACTCTTCGCCTCCGACATAGAACGACCCACTGTTCCGTCGTCGAGCGCCACATCTCTTCTCTTCTCTTCTCTTCTCGCCTGAGAGCTTCTTCACTATCTTCATCACGAGCGTCAGCGTCGAGATTCTTCACGGCTCTTCAGTCACGACTACGAAGCTTGATCTCCGCCTTCAAGCCTCCGCAGCATTCATCGCGTGAGCCCCTTCCTTCGTTCTCAACTCTCTTCATCTTCATTGGACTTTCGACGTCATTTCATCTATGTCGTAAGCTCTATTCATTCATGTACATCGCATTTATTCATGTTCATTCTCATCTTTGATCATTATGTAATCTCCGTGCAATATTCACATTTACCATTTATGCATTTTTATTCTGAGTCATTGACTTCATCGACTTGTGCTTGGCTACGCTTTGCAAGTGTACGGCCAGCCTCATCAGTACCCAATAAACATAACGAAAAGAGAATAATTTTATTCTTGTATTTTATTGTCAGTGCAACCTTGCTTCCTCGTAGCTAAAATAAAAATAAGAGTTATGTTGTGTGACGAGTGAACACGCGTTTACAATATTAATTCACAATACCCCCACACACACGTTTTACCACAAATGTAAAAAAAAAAGACCTATGTAACAGCTTTGGTAACTCCCGTGGAAATAAATACAACGCGAAAGGAAACTAGAGAACAATGGTTGCGTAGCTTGAATCATAGTTCGTTATTGTGTGGAAGTTATAAATAATATCATGTGACTCTTTAACTCTTCAGGTACCATATCTGTCGCACTACCTCGTCGACATCTTGCCCTGGACCTACTGCTGTACTTACGGTGGACCAGATGAGTGCACAAATTTTGGTCGCCAACGGCCTTCTCAAACTTGCAACAACTACGTACCGCCTCCTCCAGGTATTCTTTTGTTTGCATCAGTTTTATCGATCTCCGCATAACCATGATGACATTTTTGTGTCATTCGACATATTTGGAAATATATGTGTGTAACCAGTGGCGTACGCAGGATTTTTTCAAGGGGGGGGGGTGGGTAAGAGGACACTTTTTTTTGGTCTCGAAAGGGGGGAGCAAGGTCACTTTGTTTAGGTCAGCCATTGGCATAATTTTTTTATTTTTTTATTTTTTTAATTAAAAAAAAAAAAAATACAAAAAAATTACAAAAGGGGGGAGGGGGTTTTGATAAAAAAAAATACACATATAATACAAACATAACAAAACTAAAGGGGGGTTTAACCCCCTTTATCCCCCCCCCTCCCCCCCCCCCCCCCCTGCGTACGCACCTGTGTGTAACCATAAAACCTTGTTCACATCAGACGAGGTAAAAAAAAAAAAAAAAAAAAAAAACCTGCAGAAAAAAGGCTGATGTTATTTCACATTTTTTTCAAATAACAATATTTTCATGTCGACAAAGGAACGATAATTATTAAAAGCGTTTTTGTAAGAAAAAGATATCTGCATGTCTCTGTGCGCTTTACAAAACAGAATTCAGAAGGAGTAGAAATGGTGCACTGGGTTTATTGTGAGATTTTACAAAGTGCTAAATAAATATGTTTTCAAATTACTTCTGAATAGTTCGTACGTTTCTTCATTTCTAAGGTATTCCGGCAAGTTATTTCATACAACAGTGGCTGCATTTGAAAATGACATTTTCCTGTAAGGTTTTGTTATAGTTTGTGGGACATGAAATAAAGACGTTTTACTGGAAAGCAACTTTTTTCTGGTTTATACTGTATTAACAATTCAATGAGATATGATGAAGCAAACTGACGGAAGCATTGATAAGTTCATACCAGTACTTCAAACCGGACGCGGGACTGGATAAGTAGCCAATGTATATGTCTTAAGACTGGAGATATTGATTGATGTTTTTGGTTTGTGTTACGAGTCTGAACATATATTAGAAAAATCATTCTTGACACCCTCCCAAAACCTTTTTCCCCCTTCAATATCATGTACTATTCTCCTTTTCCCCTCTTTACCCCCCCCCCCTCCCACTCTATCTATCTCTCCCTCTCTCTTTGTCACACCATAGCATTGGGCAATGGCGATCCACATATTTCAACTCTTGACTCGACCACGTACACTTTCAACGGTCACGGTGAATTTACTCTGCTGAACGCACTGAATGACATCTTCATCTTACAAGCAAGAGCGGCTCCTCTCGTTGGTAAAATACTTTTTTTTTGCAATGACGACCTTCGTCATTGCCTTGTTTTTGCAATGACGACCTTAGTCATTGCCTTGTTTTCGTTCACATTCTTCTTATTAATATTCTTACTTCTTCTTCCTTCTTCTTCTTCTTGTCGTCCGGAAACCCATTCGTTTTGCACGTAGTGCTTGTTATTCCTAGTTAGGTGCTTTCCTCATGTCCTTTTCCTTTCAAATTTCATAGGCATAGTCTCTAACATCTTATCAAGGTCACTACTTTTTTCGATTCTCGAAATCACTCATGCATAACCGTCCAGGCGCCATTTTGTCCGTTTCTGGTCCATTTTAAGGCCTTTCTTTCTTCCTTCCTATCTCAACTATCCTAGATCCTACAACCTTCTAACAAATTCCTCTAGATATTCTAAGAGATGTTCTTTCATCTGCGACGTATAACCTGCCCTTCAAAATGCCATTTTCATACTCACAATTCAAATCTAAAACCGTCTCCGTCAAATATCTCTCAAATTCTTGAAAAATTGACCCCTAAATAATCTAAAACTGCCATAACTTTCTCATATAAATTCCGTTTTCTATTTAAATCTCACAGTATCTTTATTTTATAATTGCACATAGCTATGCCAAATTTCAAGCTCAAATGACTATGCACAACATAAATAGCGCCCTCTAAAGTTCTGGGAATTGGCTTTCTCTCTGTGGCCGTATCTCCATAATGGCTTGGCAAACCCGTACCTTTTTTTGGATTTAGATACTTGAAGATATGCCCTTTCCAGCCATATACAAAATTATATACCCTATCACTGACCAAATTTGAGAAAATTGCCCTCCAAATTCGCCATTTTCAAGAAAATTGAGAAATAACTTTAACTTGGTCTAAACCGGCGATCTTTATACCTACATCAATGAAACTTGGCAGACACACGTATCCATATACGTGACAACTGTCTGCTAAGTTTAGTAAATTGTAATGCCCTCTTCGCCAAGTTATCGCCCAAAATGATGAATTTACTATGCTTTACGTAATAGCGCATTTGATGCGTTCAGTACGTTTTGCGCAGATGACAATGGTTTCAAACTGACCGCACTGAAGTGCCCTTTCGAATGATACCAAGTATGGTATATGTTCACGCAGAAAATTGTTAGTAAAATCGCATTTGAACAAGGGTCACTATACGAATTCCGCCGAGTTTCCGCCATGACGTCATTTTTTAAGACTGTAATATTCGGTTGTGTTAGTATGGGCGGCCGTTCGTGCCAAAGCACGCGTCGCAACATGTTCATCATGCACCAAGTCCTATTGGTTTTGCACGCAGTGCTTGCGAGCCCTTTCTAGATCATTTCCTCTACTCCAATTCCCTTCAAAATTCGTAGGCGTAGTCTCTAGCATTCCTTCAAGGTCACTAAATTCTTCGTTCTCCGGAAACCCTCATGCGTGACCGTCCAGGCACCATTTTTTCCGTTTCGGGCCGTTTTGGTGACCTTTCTTTCGCCCTAACTATCTCCACTATCACAGAAGCTACAGACTTCTTACATATCGCTCTGGATAGTCCGAGAGTAGCTCCTTCGTTTGACACGTAGAAACATGGCGTCATTGCACGCACATCGTTGTGACACGATTGGATTTCTAGTTTTCGTTCACATTCTTCTTATTAATATTCTTACTTCTTCTTCCTTCTTCTTCTTCTTGTCGTCCGGAATCCTATTGGTTTTGCACGTAGTGCTTGTTATTCCTAGTTAGGTGCTTTTCTCATGTCCTTTTCATTTCAAATTTCATAGGCATAGTCTCTAACATCTCATCAAGGTCACTACATTCTTCGATTCTCGAAATCACTCATGCATAACCGTCCAGGTGCCATTTTGTCCGTTTCTGGTCCACTTTAAGGCCTTTCTTTCTTCCTTCCTATCTCCACTATCCTAGATCCTACACATTTGTAACAAATTCCTCTAGATAGTCAAAGAGATGTTCTTTTATCTGCGTCGTATAACCTGACCTTGAAAATGCCATCTTCGTACTCAAAATTCATATCTAAAACCGACTCCGTCAAAAATCTTTAAAATTCTTGAAAAATGGACCTCTAAAAATCTAAAACTGCCATAACTTTCTCATATAAATTCCGTTTTGTCTTTAAATCTTACAGTATCTTAATCTGACAATTGCACATAGCCATGCCAAATTTCACGCTCCAATGGCTTCGCACAACATAAATAGCGCCCTCTAAAGTTCTGGGAATTGGCTTTCTCTCTGTGGCCGTATCTCCATAATGGCTTGGCAAACCCGTACCTTTTTTTGGATTTAGATACTTGAAGATATGCCCTTTCCAGCCATATACAAAATTATATACCCTATCACTGACCAAATTTGAGAAAATTGCCCTCCAAATTCGCCATTTTCAAGAAAATTGAGAAATAACTTCAACTTGCTCTAAACCGGCGATCTCTATACCTACATCAATGAAACTTGGCAGACACATGTATCCATATACGTGACAACTGTCTGTTAAGTTTAGTAAATTGTAATGCCCTCTTCGCCAAGTTATCGCCAAAAATGATGAATTTACTATGCTTTACGTAATAGTGCGTTTGATGCGTGCAGTACGTTTTGCGCAGATGACAATGGTTTCAAACTGACCGCACTGAAGTGCACTTTCGAATGATACCAAGTATGGTATTTGTTCACGCAGAAAATTGTGAGTAAATCGCATTTGAACAAGGGTCACTATACGAATTCCGCCGAGTTTCCGCCCTATTATAACACGTTTGGGCCATGACGTCATTTTGTAAGACTGTTATTCGGTTGTGTTAGTATGGGCGGCCGTTCGTACCAAAGCACGCGTCGCAACATGTTCATCATGCATCAAGTCCTATTGGTTTTGCACGCAGTGCTTGCGAACCCTTTCTAGATCCCTTCCTCTACTCTTTTTTTGGGGGGGGGGGGGTTAGTGAGCACATTTTTTTTTTTTTATCCTGAAAAAAAATTTCAATTTGCACCCCCCCCCCCCCCCTTGAGCGCCAGGGGGGAGGGGGGGCCAACCCCCAAAAAAGGTAAAAATCACGTAATTTTACATGATTTTTTTCTCAAGGGGGGGCCGGCCCCCCCCCCCCCCCCCCTCCCCCCCCCCCCCTGGATCCGCCACTGTGTTCAAGTACAGTTCCTTATGATGTTATATGTCAGATTAGTGCCCACACATACCCAGTCGATTAATTTTGATTGAAATTCCAGGAGATTTTGCTCCATTTCCTTTCGCTTGCCTCCTTTAAAGTTAAGCGCTGCGTACTGCTCGTAGTATTAGACTAGTGATAGCGAAGAGTAATAATTATTACAAAAGCATATTTCCCTTTGTATGTGACCCGTTACTTTGCAGCTAGGCAGAAATCTTTTGTCTACGTATCTGCATAAAGATCCAATTAAACACATGCCTGACATATTGTCGCCTAGCGGCATCGAAGATGGTTCAAAGGGAATAAGCTAGATATGACTCCATCTCTTAAAACTCCTCGCTCAGATACAATAAAAATTTAATTTCTGATAGACTTTTACGTATTTATAGACAGGCATTTTTGTAACTAGCATTAAGTTATTATAATCTTCTTATCGTAAATTGGTTCTAAAAGAGTACTTGAATTTTGACTGGAGCTTCTTTAAAGCTATTTTTCAAGAAACCTACGTGAAAGGTGCATGTAAAAACCTTGGAATTTAAATTGTTTAACCTGTAGAGATTTTTAAATGAACACCATTCAAGAGATTCCTTAATAATCCCGTACACAAGTTCTTCGAAACAACTATTTAGGTTTCTAAATATGGGACAAGATTAGGAACCCAACCGGTGCTATCATCTTTTTTTTGTTAGAAGGGAAACACCTCTGCCTATGCTCAATGATGAAACTAACGCCAGGATATTTATCATATTCATAAATGAGTAAAGAAGTCAAAGGTCATCTTTCCGGAATGTCTGTACACTTCCACATCATTCTAAAGGAAAATATGATATTCATGTATTAGTTGAACTCATAACAAAATGTATTTCTTACTGTATCTTCCATTGCAGGAACGTCTGATGCAACGGTGTTTGTTGCCATGGCAGTACGATTTGGTGATAGTGATGTCATTCATGTTCAAACCAATGAACGCAGGGTTCTTGATGCCTATGTCCGACTAGCCGGAGATGGACAACACTTCACAAGGATTGAATTCGATCAAGCTTCTCGATGGTCATATTCAGGTATAAGAAATTATAAGGAATCTTATCGCACGTAGGGCGATATTAATAGTATACATTCATCAGTGACAGCGGGTGACAGCACGCGTGAGGGTGGCGTCTCTCTTGTGATGACCTTTTGCGGCATCTTGAGAGAAAACAACAACATGCCGACGCCCTTTGTGTCAGCACGGTATCTTTCATGTGCGCGTAGCTATAAACGGAAATAGTGCGCGGTATGTTTCGAATCTATGTATGGAATTGTATTAGCCGGGATGTATTGGGTTCCCACGGTGCTAGCGTGAGATTCCTCATTCTACTTGCGGTTTTGGTAGAGGATGGATGTAGACATTGATCGGTCGCAAATTAATTTACCCTCCACCACCCCCAATTTGTTTTTCCACCTCCTTACGTTTTCCAAGCGTATTCGATAGTATGTTTTACTAGCTGTTTTATTTTTACGGGCTGTGGGGAGGTGTACGTAATTTTTCGTCTTTTGGTGGACTCGATACAGAGAGTACTTTGTATTGGACATGGTAGCTCCATGCTCCAGTGTTTTCAGATGCAGATACTTGTATACAGTGATCAAAAGATTCGAAAGTAATACCCGGGTCTTTCCCTGGGGCGGATTGGAGCAGTGTTACATTTAAAGTAAAATTATTCTATATTCAGTTGGGAAAGTTTGTGTCGTAGTTGTTGCTATTGTCATGATGTTGATATTCAGGGTAACAATATTACATCCTCTATTAAATATCAAGTACCCACAAAACCCATTCCGTTTCATTTTGTTACTGTGAATGTAAACAATTTTTGTCCATATCGCTCCCGTTCTTGGGAAATATCACGTCTATCAAATTAACCTCTTTTGGGGGGGTTTTACGTCATGCGGTAAGATTTATATTAATTATGTTATGTATCCTAAAAATGTTTTCCCTCTTCTTCCTATCAAGAAGAAGCTGGGAAAGCAGTTAATTTTCTGTAACAGTTGCAAGACTTCTATGTTTTGACAAATTTGGTTTAGAGGAATATCGCACCACTGGAAAATATGATGTTACTTCGAGCCAAGAATGTCTAAGCTTTAGGAATACTGTTTTTTCACAAACTACTGAGCTCTCTCAAAATGAGCAGAACTATAATGTTCTGGATCCTTTAATCTGGTTTTCCTCTCATATTTTGCTTTTAATACCAAATGTTGTACGATAAGCTAGTCAATACCATGCATAGTTGACTTCTTTAGTATCCATCTTTTTGCTTATATTCGCTTTCTTAGGGGTCTCGGTAACCGGTCGCAACATTACCTCAGATGGAATTATTGTATCTTTCGACGGAGGGGTAGGACTGACGTTGAAGGCCTCAGAGGGGGCCATGAGCATTCTTCTTGTAGCTCCAGATTCCTTCCGAGGTCAGACGCAAGGCCTGATGGGAACGTGGAATGGTGATGCCAGTGACGATTTCGTAACTCCTCAGGGATCTTTTCTTTCACCTGATCTGACAACTGAGGAGTTGCACTACCAGTTTGGACTATTATGTAATATCAGATTTGTTGCTTTCAATAATGTTTTCTCCCAATGTATGTTAATATTGTTTATAATTATCAATAATTATGCTATAGTCTTCATTGCCTTTACTTATTTTAATTAATATTTTGCCCTTCATAAATAGGATTGTAAAAGAATGCAAGCAATTGTGAGGGTATTCAATATATAGTTGAGTTCTGGTCTTGTAATTAAATTTTGAAGGAAATCATCTAAAAGTTACTTAAAGGTTTTACTATTATCAAAACTACATTGGCTTGAATCACCTTGGCGACATCACATGCACTGCACCCCGAAATGGACATTTGGGACTATATCTACATGTCAAATGTATGTTTGCTCGAAACCTTTCAGATATTGCTTGTAATATTTCAAATGAGGACATTGATAAGCAATGTACGATTTTAATTGTAAGAAATTTTTCCGAATTTAATTTTACCATTAAAACAAAGGCTAAGAAAGCTCACAAATTATTTCATCACCTTAAGGAAACTTTGCCTTCTCCTTAACCTCGGGGATGCAAGACCATCCCCTCCCAAAATGTAACATGATCCTTTGAATACCCTCCATATCGTCAGCGTCTTAGAGTAATGATTGTCTTCATTCTTGTTACTCTTTTTTACTTCAACACAGGGGAAATCGACGCAGCAAAATCGTTGTTCTATTACGAACCGGGCAAGGACCACGAATCTCATACCGACCGTACTTACACTCCTGTCTTTGAGCCTGTCGCCAACCCTTTTGTAGACCAGAGCCTTGTGGTAGAAGTCTGCGGTACAAACCAGTTCTGTATCTTCGACTACCAGACAACGGGGTCGCAGAGTTTTGCCCGGAATTCAATGGAGGCACTTGTGCAGTATCAACAGGCAGTCGACAGCAGAGCATCGTTCGGTATATTTTAAAATGTCATACCGGTTAAGAGTATTTTTTTTTTGTCTCAAAAAAAATCGCAACGACTCAGCCAGCCGCTGAATAAGCGGGGGGGGGGGGGGGGAGGGGGGGTGGTAAGAGGACACTTTTTTTTTTTTTGGCCTCCAAATTTGAAAATTTGACATTTTTGTTCGTTGGGGGGGGTCACCTTTTTTAGGTCAGCCATGGGCATAATTTTTTTTTGTATTTTTGGTTATTATAATTAAAAAAAAAAAAAAAACACCCAAAGGGGGGGGGGGTTTAGGGGGGTTTACACACATAAAAATATCAAAGGGGGGGTTCAACCCCCAACCCCCCCCCCCTCCCCCCCCCCCCTGCGTACGCGCCTGATCTTCATCATATGCTGATTTCGCCGATATGCTTTTTTGAACCTGTATTTCCTTTGTTTATATTTTGTTCTAATTATCATTTCTTAAGTGAGTTGCCCAAATCTTCCCGCCCCTGCCATCGCGACGACCTACATGGCAGGGGACGTGGCAAGATTCGTGTGCGATGCCGGCTTCGAACTGAGTCACGTGGTCAACTTAACCTGCCAATCAGATTTAACCTGGAGTGCTGGCGATATCCCGAAATGTATCAGTGAGACTATGACGCCACTAGGGCCGGGTAAGCATTTAGTCAGGTCAATGTTGAATGAGCCCTCACCTTTTTGTTTAAATTTGTTGTTTTTTTCGTCATAGAAACGAACCAATCAAAAGAGAATAACACAAAATTATAAAATATATAAAAATACACAGAATATAAATTTTACATAAGCAAGGGGAAAAAATATGTTGGCATAAGATTTGTTTTAAATATTAAGAACGAAAGAATGCACAATAAAATAAATAAAAAGTGAAAACGGAAAGCTGAATAGCCCATTTTCAGCTGCACTTGCATAGTGCAGCTGGTCTTCCAGGGGTACCAGAAAGAAATAGAAGAAGAAGAAGAAGATGGTGAATGGAAAAAAGACAAATAAAACAAAACAAGAAGAACAATAGTATTTAAATAAATTATATTAAGGTCTGGCGGTAATAATTTAATTAGTTGTAACAGAGATCGTTTGAATAAACAGAGATATATACAATTGCTAATATGAATGAAAAAAATATCGTAGCCCCCATCCCTACCTGTAGAAAAAGGGCGTTTGCAGTTCGGAGTCTGGGAAGGGAAAGATTATTGTACCATAGCTGATAAGGTATTGGGGTATACAATTTGTTTACAGTTAAATAAAATGGTGTCATACTATTGAGGACTTAAAACATCATTGCACTGATATTAAATATCTGGTGCAATTTCAAAGTCTCCCACCGCAGTATTTCATGCATTGAAGTAACAGAAAAATGTAATTGAGGCTTTATTTTTAGAATAGTCCTTCCTAATCTATTTGTAGCTTTTGTAATTGATTCATATAATTTCCATAAGGAGATTGCCGTATCATGTCCGCAAAATCTAGTTGACGTAGAATAACAACTTGGTGTATGAGTTTAACTTTTAATTTTCTTCTATTAAGATGTTGCACTTTAGGTATTCGATTCTGGATCCTGGATGAAATAATGTTTGTTTTTTTCCTTACCCCTTTTTTATATAACTAAATACCTAAAAACTGCATAATTATCCTAACAGATAAAATACAAATATCAGTACATATATGAAGTTTTTAAGTCAAGAATAAAGTAAATCATTTCCTCTTTCTCTACAGTTATTTCGACACCCGCGATCATCGGAATATCTGTGGGATCGGTAATTCTGATCGTTTTGATCATGATTGTCATCATTTTGATCTGCCTACCAAAACAACGTCCACCGTCGAGCAGGTATGCTACATTTGTTTGTTGGCGCCAAAGAAATAAAAAAGCACTGTCATCATGATAGCAATGACCTTAACAAAAGCAACTGCCGACAATTTCTATACCCTATTGTACATCCAATATATACCATGTTGGGATCACGTACTGTATTACGTGTAGTGTTCGCACGTGTTAATATTTCATTGACAGGGCTATTGACGTTGCCTTGACTTTCAAGAAGTCATTGCCATCATGGGATTTCAGGTAGACCTGCATTTATGTGTCCTTGTACAGGGCCTTTTAAAGAGGGTGCTCCGATTTGTGAATGTGTCATAGTATAGTGGTTTGTTAAAAAGGGTTGAGGGCTCGAATCACCACATTGTCTGTGTATTAAGCTCTTTATCAAACCAGAATATTATTTTCCTTAAATTAGAGGGTAAGGGTTAGTGTTACAATTGGCTTGTAGGTTAGGTTTTGGATTAGCATTAAGTTTAGGTTGTTGGAATGTTGGGTACCGTGTTAAGGCTAAACATTCGTAGGAATTTACCGCAAAGGATACACATGGTCGACTAGAAAAGTGTCTAACAACTATCACGAGCTTCACCTAACACCATTACATAATTATTTAGCATTATCCCGTTTAATAATCCTAAATGTATTACTCATTGCGGATGTAGTATCGAAAATAATATCGCTAGTGATATTAGTTTATCTCGCAATGTCAACAAGGGATCTAAAAGATAACGACATTTCGTGCGCCGCTGCAACACTTCGTCAAGTAAAAACATATATTGTAAGCAAGCGTTTTTTATACTCTACGGGCGATCACCTGACAAAGTGTTGCAGCGGCGCACGGAACGTCGTGATCTTTTGGATCCCTTGTTGACCAACGTTGCGAGACAAACGACTCCCACTAGCGATATGTTTTCGATATTATCCCGTCTGTTTGTACACTTCCTTTTTATTATTATGATGACCTTTTCTTTCATCCTCAAACTTTTTATCGCACTTTTCATTTTTATTTAATTTCTTATTCTATTAGGAAGGTGAACTTTTCAAAAGACCAGGCTAAAGTTCATGGAAACCCTACCTCACCTAGTAAGTCCGTTTAAACATACAGCTGAGTACTGGTGTCAAGCAGTGGCATTGTGAAAGATTGATTATTTTATAATGGTAGTTATAGTTATGATGATAATGATAGTTATAGTAATGATGATAATGATACTAATAATGATAATTAAAATATAATTATTATAATGATAATAATATTATTAATAAATACTAATAATGATAAAAAAAATAAAGATAGACTTTTAAATTTCAAAATAGACTGGAAAGTCTCTTTATGCGTTAACCCCAGAAACAAAATACAATTTTATGCTAGCATATTTATACAGATTGATTAAAAAGATAACTATTAATTCCTATTAATTCCTATTAAATGTATTACAGAGGAGTAGATTCTGAAGTTTTTAAATGTTAAAAATGAAACGAAACTTGGCTCAATCTTGGCACAGAAGGGGTATATGGGACTACACGCACATTTGTCATTGACTGTTGGATGCAAACACTTTAGCTAGTACTAGTCATCTGCCGAATATGGGGGTACTTCAACTCTTCAAGAGCAATCATGTTCAGGGGGCATTTCTACTTTCTTTTAAAATGAAATGCAGGGAGTGAGGAACTCAGCTATCTCATTAACTTCATATGAAAGCCAAAATGAACCGACTCTTCCATAAGATTAACTTTCAATGTTAAATTTTGTTTCGCAATTCTGCACTTGGCCGCTCATAAACAATTGTAAATTAATTTTGTCTTCTATATTTAAATGATTGAGAAAACCAATGTCATGAAAATATTAATTATTTTATTTCAAATGGAACTGGAATCGTGTAGGCTTTTGTCCTTGAGTGTATTAAACGTTACGTCGGAGCTAAAGGCCGGGTAGTGATATCTTTAGTCCTTATGACGCACTTAAAAGTGTTATATCATAAGAATATGTGATATTACATAATAATTTTTGTTATTTCTATCATTAATCGTCGTTTTTCTTTGTCTCTCTTTCCCTTTCTTTCTCTGTAGTGCTTAGTCCTGGCAACTGATAAACTTAAATATAACGAGTGGATCGACGTGTAAGGACATAGCTATTATGTTGATATCTCTGCAATGCATGCAATTGAGCTGATGACTATATAAACGCTTTTTGTTGGCTCTTTTACTTTTCATAATTGTGTATTAATAGTTTTTTTAAATCACAGAAAACGTTTTGATGCTATTACTCAGATATAAATGACTTTGATATTAAGCACATAAAATGTACTATTAAACTATATATGTGAAGCTACGTCTTCTAAATTTTCCGATTAAAATCAAATTCGGCTGTCAATAGGAACTATATAGGTTGGCACCGTGTTGGTCAACGTTTTCTCAATGATAACCATTATCTATAACCATTGTCCATGTCATATCTTAATTGTGTGAAAATTTAAAAACGGTGATATCCAGATATCAATGTGATACCACTTTGGAAACGATAATCATTCAACATGAAAAACCTAATGAATCCTATCATAGATGTTCATTTTCTCGTAGATCCATTTTGTAATTCTAGAATGAACGGACATATGTTTCCTGTTTAGCATATCTATCTTTGGCTTATGGATCGCAACTTTATTCAAATTAAGCTTAATTGTAATTAGGGGGAAATTCTTTGAATTTACCCAATATAGGAATTACATCGGTATTTTGGGGATAATAGTAATAAGTATGTTTTTAGTTGTTTCCTTGTTGTTGCTTTTGCTTTTGCTGTGCTGTTTCATTAGTTTGTTTGGGGGAGATTGGTTAAGTTTTGTATTTTTTTTGTTTTTAATCCATTTGGGGCAGACATATTTTTGAAAAGGTTGATTAATCAGAGCGCGTTTCTATTTCTTTAAGAGCGCCATCTGCGAACAAAGAATGTCTAGCCATTTCTCTTGCATCGAGAATGACGTAGGGGGAGGTAATCCAGAGTTCGTTAGCTCCAGCTTGATTTAAGATCGGTGTAACAAAAACATTTAGAACACTTTGCATGAAATCTTATTGAGCTTTCTGTGTTTGAATATTAAACAAACTTAATTATTTACACAAATTATGAGTAGTACGTGTGTTTTGCAGACTTTTGAGGTGTGTTCACAATTTTATTGTTTACCATCTTCATTTCATCA